GAGCTAGCTCAAGATCCCTCATGTGATGATGAAGTGGACGTTGCTGTTTTTTTATTATTATTATTTTAATTTATCCCTTATTTATTTCTAATGGTTCAGTTGTTGCATCTTCAAATATAGGATAAATATAGGATTGTTCTCTTCAAAGACCTACCAGAGACCAAATGTTCATAACAGCAAAAGTTCATGAACTTTTTGGTGTATCAGCCAATACCGAATAGCAAAACACTAATTACATCAAAGTGACTCTACCAAAACTCCATCCTTACAACCAACACTTAACCAACTAATAAACTGAATCAAATTATGTAACAATACAACTTCAACACAGATTCTTCAACAGATCTTTCAGATCTAAGCAAACCTGACTTTGTTCCCATAAAGTGTGTGAAAAACATTTTAAAACTGTCACATAAAACAGCTTCTTTTGCTGTAGATGCAATAGCTCCATGTCTAATTAAAAGATACACAAGACTGAAATATCTATATGATATTCAAAGTAAAAGCTCATTATGGTCACATTTCTGTAACTAGATAACCTTAATGTAACACTGATCTACTGCACATCAGCCGACGTCAGTGAAATGTTTTCTCTCTAGTTGTCTTGTTTTAAGATAATGTGTGGACCAATATATCTCTTCACTCACCACGCTTTGTGCTTGTTACTGCAGCCCAGTGTTTTTGCCCTGACCAGTTTGAGATGGTGGTGAGAGGTAGATCAGAGCCAATAATGACACACACAACATGAATCAGACACCTGATTGTATCACGCCCATGTCCAGACAGATGTCAGATTACACTGGAGACACTGAGCTGGCACTGGTTTGGTGGCTGTGCTAGTTTCTCTTTGAGCAGGGAAGCTGCTCAGAATGGAGCCATGATGCAAAAATCAACTGTTATTAGAAATTCTATGACTGACTGATCAATGTTATGGGATATGAATTAGGACAAACGGATCTCACATCTATAAGTAACTTATCTGAACACTCGATCCTGTCTTTAAACAGTCAGTTAAGGACTTATTTTTACATCTAACTTTATTAGTATAGCCATGTAGATTTTTGGTTTTATGCGTTTTGGAATTTCAGTGCTAGAAACATAAAAATATACACAACAAAAGCCACTGGTCCTTCCAGAAACAATCCTCCCTCCACTCACTGTGGATCTGATACTTCAGAGTTCATTAATATTTTAAGCAGCACAAACAGAGGTCCATTCACTTCCACATGAGTTGTGGAGGACATGGGTTTCAGAGGCGGAAAGCTCAAAATCCCAGTACATAACACTTTGCTTCAGTGTCCCCGTGGTTACCTTTGAGAGGGAAGTTCTCCAGGATGTTGAGCAGCAGCAGGGCAGCCAGTCCCTGACTGTTCGGAGGGGGCTCCCACAGACGCACCCCCTGAACACACAATGAGTCATTCAGTCTGCTGACTTCGTTATTAAAGCACAGATACAATCTATGGTCTATGGTCGCCCACCTCACCTTGTATTCTGTGCTGATAGGGGTGATGACCTCACTGTCGTGGCTGCTGAGGTCATCCAGGGTCATGACTCCACCGTGTTGGCTGATGACGTCAACGATGGCTTGGGCCACTCTGTCTTGGTAGAAAGCTGCTTTTCCCCGTTCACCCAGCTCCTGTCAAGACACCAGTCCATCAATGTTACAACTAATCACTCTACTGGTCAATCAATCAGTTTATCTCTTTTCATCCATCTACATATTTGAGTCACAGTTGAAAAAGTTAATATTATAATGATTAGCATGATGTAAGACCACACTAATCCATAGTTTTACAGTTATGCAGGTGACGTGTCCACTATTGTGTATACCCACCACTCCAATCAATGTTAATGAATGAACAGGAAGGGGTGTGTGACTGTGTGATTCTGCACCACAAAGAGGCAACACACACAATCATCGCTGAGGAATGAGCGCTATGATTCCATGGAAACCATCCATCAATGAGGCTGAGGTCACTGCTATTGTTTTCACTGTCAGGACCATGAGTGTGTGTGTGTGTGTGTGTGTGTGCACGTTTGTGTGTAGGGAGCTGTCATGGGTGTAACTTGGCAGTTTTCATGCATTATTGCATTACTAATGAAAGAGTGTTTGATGTAGTAATACAAAAGAGCAACAACCAGTGCATGCCTTAATGGTGAAGCACAAGCAGATGAACACGCACGTGGTGAGGTCAGCCATAGTTCGACTGACGTGTCAGTGACAGACTTGCATTGTCCACACATACAAACAATCATGGTCGCACATTCGTATAGGGGACAGGAGAGTAGAACTTAGAAATTGCAGTGCAACATCACAACATCTAAGTTATGTTTCAAATAATTTTTGAAATTACATCATTGAAACATTTTTGCTGCTGTCAAACTCAGAATTTCATGTTGGGGGATTTTGTAGTTTCCATTCTTTTAGGTCGCTCTTAAGTTTTATTCTAAGGTGGTAGAGGTCTATTCACAGGTATGTGAAAATTCTCAATCAGGTTGTAATAATTGATATATAACCTTCAGTTCTTTATTCTTTTATTTTCACACTGCCTTAAATTATATTCCCCTTAAAATGTATATTTTATGTTGTATATAATGTGTGAGTAACCAACATAGGCTAACCAGCGATATAAGCTACAAACAGAGGAATTGTTTTGTGCTGATGATGGCTTATTGCTGAAACACGTTTGTGTATTGCCCCATATTATTCAACTATGAGTGCCAGCATTTTCTTTATCTTGCTGAAACAGAAGGAATGTATCTTGCCATATTTGGTGAAAACCTGACTGTTTGATTCATACTGATCACAGCGATAAGCTGTGGAGAAAAGGCTTTATTTATTTATGTTTTCATACTTTTCTGGCCATGGTCAAAATTAGTCACCCTCACACCCTGGGAAATTCATTACAATGAATTCTTTACCATCTCCATCATCATCGCTTATTATGTCCTTCCCTTCATCCACTCTCTTCTATTCTGTCTCTCTCTCTCTTCACCATTTCCCTTTTGCTTTTTTTGTTCCATCCCCGTAATCTTTTCCTTCTCCTCCTTTCACTCCATCCCCTCCATTCTTCCCTCTCAATTTGCCTCAATCAATGCTCTTCCTATTTTGCTCATCCCTGTACAGTCTATATCCCCTTCATTTATCTTCCTTGTTTTTCTTCCATGTCAAATCCAACATCCTAGTGGGGTCAGGGGTTTTTACCCAGTGTGCCCCTGGGTTCATGCGAGATCTTCCCATACAGAAGACTAAGTCAAGTTTAGAAAAGCAAACAACCTCTGGGAGGATGCGAAATGAGCCCAGTGGGATCTACATTGTTCTGTTTCCTTCTTGTCTTAATAACATAAGTTCAGAAAAAATGTCCCAGTGCTCCTCACATGACCTCTGATTCTGTGTTTTTCTGTTTTTTGTTTTTTTTGTATTTCATTTACAAGGATTTACCTTCAGGGTCCGGGCCAGGGCAGGGTTTCTGAATACTTGTCCACATTTGGGCGCATGATTATCACTCAGCAGGTCCCCACCTAGTTCCTTCCCTGCATCTCTCAGAGCAGACGCCCAGTTTGCCCAGTGGTGAGCTGTTACCTCGGCAACAGGAAACCCCACCTCTGCAAGCCCCACCGCCCCACTCAGCAACTCCTGAAAGGACAGCTGGGGAAAAAGGAAGAGGAAACACACAGTGATTACCTCACAGGAAAGCTGAGCACTGAACAGGAAGAGTGAGTCATTGTTTTGAGAAGAAATATGTGAAGACTGAAACTGGTTGTAATTTTCCCTGAGGGTTTTCAAGAGAAGAAAAAAAAGCATTAAATTCATCTCTTAATTGTAAGGGATGTGCCAAATTTACCTCAATATTTTTATTCTTAATATACTTCTACATCAGCTAGTAATTTACTACAATTTTTGATATTTACTTATTCACAACAGAAATTTGAGTGGACATGCACTGCAAAGACACCATCCATGTTAAGACCTTGTAACACCTTAATATTCATTTTAAAACAGAAGTTCAAACTGCAGGCACTGGCACCATATCCAAGCTTTTTTTTCCCAATTTAAAGCTTTTCCATGCACACAATCTCAGGCAACATTATGCTACTAAACTTGAAGGGTAGTATGCTAGATGCAAGGGAGAGGAGAGAGAAAAAATTGTTGTTCAGCATTGGAATGAATATAGTTTAATTTATTCTTGAGAAAAAAAGTATCAAGTGTTCAAACAGCTCCCCTTGGAGACAACCTGGCCCCAAATTAAAGGGGCTACATGTAAGTTTTCTCTGTCACCTTGCATGGTTTCTTGGGAGTGGGTGGTGGTGATTGTCGCTTGACACGAGCTTCAGCCACCGTTTATAAGACAAGAGATTACAATATGCACTCTGAGCAGCACTACATCTTCAGGGCAGTTTACAGTGATTCGCTATTGGAAAGTGAAGAGACAGGCCGGTGCTAGCTGGTTAGCATGCTAACTTCAATAGAGGAAAAGACGTGATAGAGACAACAGTCAACATTGGTGTTGCTTTCCTCAGCTCTTGCTGAGTAAAGGAATGAAGTTTGATGCTGAACTCACGTCTCTTCTAGACTGGTAAGTAAACAGCTATGTAGTTAATAGCTATGTAGCAATAGTTAAACCTACAAATAGTTCTTTTAAACTGTTAGACCCCTACTTTAAAAGTTTGCCTATACTCTTAAGAACCTGCGGAAACCCTACCATAGATGGCTATGTCACTGCTGTTTTGACCAAACTGAGTAAATATCAAGAGCCCAGTGATAGTTTGTCCACACCTTGTTTATATATCCTTGACTGACCTTTAACACCACTGTTTAGAACACACAAGAGTCAAGAGTCCTACTTCCAAGTGTGTTTGTGCATGTAAGTGGTGTGTGTCACCATGGTTCCTTTTGCAATGTGTTTACATTTAAGTTGTTTATGACATGTAAATGATTATGATAGATGGGCTGTTGGCTACCTGAGTGTTGCATAAAACACACCAGCACAAACAGTTCTACACAATAAAACACACAAACACACACAGTCAAACCTTGTGGCTACCAAACAGCTGGACAGTGTCACACCAACAAGCAGGAGCCCCTGGTACTGTGACATTCAGTGCATCAAAAGGTGAGGGAGGGGTCTTTGCAGTGTAACCACGGCCTTCCAGGAACTCCAGGGTCTGGGTTCTGGGTGAACGACCACTGAGGACACAGAGAGTGGCTCAGCCAATCATTCTGTATTAAAAAGACAATTACAGCTGCACGAGAAGAGTCTCCACCTGCCGTTAATTCCTCTGATCTCTCCGGTTTTTCCGTTGTAGAACAAGCAGAAGGCATCTCCACCAGGGCCGGTGCTGCACGGCTCTGTTACCGCCAGTGCTGCCGCTATGGCAACCGCAGCATCTGCCGCATTACCACCACACTTCAGGACATCTGGATGCAAACACATATCCAAGAGTAATTGATATGACTGACTCACATTAACATTCCTGGCATAAATGGAGATCACCTGAGTCGTTTTATGAATTTACTACACGTGGAGTGATTTTCCACTGCATATTAAAATCCCTTGGATTTACAAATGAGCTAGTTTCAAGGCAGCCACCCAAAATACAACAACTAAGACATGTTTTATCACTTGCTCCCGGTGGTATTTATCCATGCCAACCTTTTTGGTTTTGTATGCACAGTTTTATGCACATATTCATTGCTGAAAAAGGGGAATCATTTATTTTCACTATAATTCCACCCATAGGTAACACAATGACAGAATGTATGACTATTCTGTCATTGGTTTCAACGATTAATCGATTATCAATAACATTGCAGTACACTGTCACACACACACACAGTGTGGGGTTTGGCAGCTTTTAAGTGCTCCATAAGTATAAAAACAATATCTTCTGCACCAAGTGGTCACAGCGTTTCGTGTTAATTCCCTTTAGTAAGGTGAAATCACTACTTTAAAACGCCCTCTGTTTGTTCAGTGTTCAGTATTTCCGGTCCTACTGTTTTCCTCAGTGGTAGCTGTTGCGATAGTTTGGAAGCTAGGTCACTATCCGCTCCCTGTCTGTCTGAATCTCAGTGGATTCTCACGGTTTGTTGTTCCAAAGTGATGCTATTTGTGTTCATTCGTTTCTGCTATTATGAACTGAAACAGAAAATTTACACGTGTTTGAAAAAACTGTGAAACATTTCCAGGAGATTGTTGTTTAGCTGCCAAACATCTAAGATCTCTATGGCAACTGTTTCCACTCACCTAGACCTATACTTGAAGCTAGCGTCTGGCTGGACGCTGCACAGCCGTGTAAACACACTACAGGAGACCGACGAGAGGAGAAAGTCAAGCCGGTGTCCATCCCGCTTTAACTACCAGCGACTGTTGGCAACAACTAGGCATATAACACGACAAAAAATAAACCGTATTGGACTTTCAACTTCTGATCGGTTACTCGCGTATCGATTGAGTTTGGCTCAACTAGGACGCGGCAACACAGAGCAACGGATGACTGATCACATCGATCGATTGATGCTGAGGTAAAAAAAAAAAAAACTTTTACGAGAAAATATACAGATAAAATAATTATCCTCACAGTATTAATATGCAAGATTTTTTTTTCATTGTTTTAATTGTAAATAATATGATTATTCTGAACTTCACAAGGTCCACAGGGTCCATTTAGCAGCTGTTCTGGAGCTTTCAGTCATGTCACATGACCTTAATCAGCAGATGGAGTAGTCATGAAACTAAAGGCGTTTCAATTTCCATTTTCTAAGCACTTTAGTGACATATTGTTACATACAAAGGCCATTTTTACAAATCTAAATTACAAATCCCATATTTTTTTTCAGTTGACAATGTGAAAAATGGACTGATGAAATTCCTGCAGCCTATAATGTTTTATTTTAGGCAAATTTTCATCGACATTTTATATTTAAACAAAAAGTAATTCAAGAAATATCATGATGTGATGACTTGTATGTTGTGAAATATTTTGTCATCTATTGGTGCAAACAACCACCCTCTAAAAAACGTTACCACCAGAGGTGTGGCTTGGGTTTTACAAAGGCTATAACATTGTTAAATGATTACTGGAGCCATGATGATATAAAATAAAGTAGAAATAACCACACTGTTGCATTTGGATTAAATTCTCATATCACTGTAAAATCAAAATTCATAGAATAATACAGTCTAGTAAGTTTGGGATTGATAGCAGAATTTCTTAAGGAATTTCCTCAGTCTGACAGCTGAAGGGAAGACACTGTTTTTCAATCTTGAAGATTAATCATATACACCTCTCTGATAAAGAGATCCATTTAATCATTAAATTGACACCAGAGGCCAGGATCCAAACTAAAGCAATTTTATTAAATAGTCAACAGATTAATACATTATTTGGGTGTGTTTGTCTTTTTTTACAGCACAAAAAGCAAATAAAACCATAAATCTTTTAAAATCAATGATTTTATGAGTGATGCTAATTTTTAACTAATATCAACTTTATAGTTATAAATTCAAAAATCAATGTTCAGCTCTCAAAGGTCTGACATCAGTTGGCTTATAACACACAATGAAACATTATTTATGGAAAATGACGTACACCCAGATCTGAAAAATGGATTAGACAATACTAATGAAAAACTAATGAAGACGTCCTTTATGTTACTCACAAAACATGTGGAGATGCACATCAGCTCTGTGGGCCCCTATCGACCAACTGTCACTTCCTCTTCTGTCTCCATGTACACAAAACACCTGGTGGAACATTAACCATTGTGTCTTCACAGGTGTGTCTGTGTGCACAATCCTACATTAATGGCTCTATGTCTGTTTGTTTGTAGCTACACAGCGCATGCATGTGTATTTGTACGTGTGTGTGCCACATGAGGGGGGGGGTCTATAAAGCCTCAGCTGTAGTGCCAACCACATCCCCAGAAACAGGATAGGTGAAGCAGACAGGATCATTCAGTAGAAACAGTAAAGAGTGCAGAGCAACCAAGAGATAACACATCCATCTAATACAGATTTAATCATAATTTCAGGTTTACAGTCAAGACATCCTTGCTTTGTGAGTTTGTCATAATTCAATTGAAAGATCAGTCTGAGTGGAATTTTAAAGCTCACAAGGTATTTTTAAAACCCAAGGAGTTTTTTCTCTCAGAGGTGGTTTGAGCATCAGTGTCAGAATGTGTTCAGGCAGTTTTGCCAAGTGTTTGGGGATCACTCTGATTCCTCTGTCGCTTGCCTGTGTGCTGTGCAACATCCTGCTCTTCTTCCCCGGGGGGACATCTGTGGACAGCGAGAACATCACGGATGAGGTCTGGTACTTTGGAGGCATTCTGGGATCTGGAGTGCTGGTGAGTGCATTAATCAACAACACTGAGCGCTGACAGCTGGTGAAATCCACTCCGCCACTATCACGTTTATCACAAAATAGAGGATGCACACTGTGTGATATCATCTGCTTTTATCATTACTTAAGACACATTTTCTGGATTCTTGAGATGTACAGTTTTCCATATTTTATGTCAAATGTCTTAATACAATAGCACATGATACCATTTTGTCATCTAAATGATGTTTGTGTGTCTGTGTACACTCTTGAACACAGTAAATTACAAACCACACAATGAAAATTCATTAGGCCTGTGATTCTTTTAATCATAGATTAATCTGCCAGTTGTTTCCTCAATTAATTAGTAATTGTTAATTCTATAACATCAGAAAATGGCAAAAATACTCCTTATAATATTCTAGACCAAACATGGTATCTTCAGATTGCTTGTTTGTCAGATCAACAGTCCAAAACCTAAAGACATTCAGTTTACTATCATATACAACAAAGGAAAAAAAGCAAATACTCACATTTGAGAAGCTGAAATTAAAGAATGTTTAATATTTTTTAACTGAATCATTAGTTAGTCAGTTAATTAATAGTTTTAGCTCTAAAATTTACTGACAGTTGGGCTTTACTTTACTTTTGCTTGACTTTTTATGTGTTTAAAGTGTCCTTCAAATGATTCTGATGGCATATTTGATGAAAATGAGACAAAAACTGGTCTAAATTGGTGTAGATGTAGCAAACGACCAGTTCAGGAACCAGTTATATAACAGTGTCTGTCTTACTGATTATCATTGGAAATTAGGCTGTTTAGTTTCCTCCTGCATATGGCAGAGTAACACCTAATTCATCTGCTGTGTGTATGCGTGCGTGCGTGTGTGTGTGTGTGTGTGTGTGTGTGTGTGTGTGAACTTGGGGTGTGTGTGTTTTTTTTGTCGACAGATGATCTTCCCAGCTCTAGTCTTCCTTGGTCTGAAGAACAATGATTGCTGCGGTTGCTGTGGCAACGAAAGCTGTGGGCGGAGATTTGCGGTGAGGAGATGTTTCACTGTTCAACTTCTCACCATAATCAAATTAGTATTTACTGTCAAAACTTTGGGTGAGTGGTTTCGAATTAGAGTCACAGAACAGGAAAATTAGAGTCCAGTTCCCAAAACAATTATGCGGAAAGTGTTTTTTTAATTTTTGTTGGGTAAATGATAAACACAGTATTTACTGTACATGTACCACTGTATTCTCGGATAAGTTCAGCACCTTAAACTTTATAATGTTTGTCTAATGCTCAAACAATTTGGAGTAATACGATTTTGGCTTAGCGACCACAGTCTGAACGGCAGGTCACATGATGCCCAAGGTCGTATTAGATCCACTAAAATGCCTGTAAATCAATGAAAATGTCCTGGGCATCACATATAATTCATAAAATACACTTTGAAGGGGTCAAATAATAATGTAAACCATTAAAATTTGTATTGAGATATTATTTTCTGGCCATAAATGTGTGTGCTGACTAAACCAGAGAAAGACACTGATGGGGACTTCACATAGGAGGCATTGTGACATGTAAGAGTAGGAAATTTGTAGTCACTGGTCAGTTTCAGGGTCCTGGTTTTTCATGCTGGCTCACAAGTCAAAATGTCTGCCATGAAAAAAAACATAACTTGAGTGGTAATGACTTGTTATTTTCAGTTTTCAAAAAAATACTGTAATTAATTTCTAATTTTGAAAGTTTAATTAAAAAGAAAAAAAACAGGTTAAAACTGGATTAATTAGCAACAAAAACGCTTTAGCGCAACACTATGGTTTGATTGATTTATTTCACTATGAGGGACTCTGGTCTTCACATTTTTGTCTTTACCTTCTATTACAAATAGCATATTCTGAGCTTCGCTCACTACAAGATGGTCTCTATTTACATTACCATATTTCATTTAAAAGTCTTTTTGGTTAAATTTGGTAAAAATGGAGAAAAAATGAATTTGAGTATTAAAGCTTGCGGTGTGTCAACTCACTGCGGAGCTGCTGTACCTGTTAACTGTTAACTGCAGAATCTAATCGGTTTTAATGGAAAACAAACACAATTCCACTGTGTGTACACACACACACACACACACACACACACACACACAAACTGATGAGATTTCGATCACTGTGATGAGAAATTCCTCGGATGGGAGTTTCACATGACTTTCCCTCACAGAGCTGGTATTGTGCCGTGGCAGACACACATACTGATCGATACTTCAGGAATGTGTAGGTGTGTGAGTGTGAGGAAAGAATCAACAAACAAAAGTCTGTCAGATCGCACACCGCACACACACACACGCATTCACACCATCCCAGTGGTTCTGTGTTGGCCGCGCTCTGTTAATGACCCTCGGCCTGGTCTCTGCACACCAAGAGAATAACCTCATTGTTGCCATTGTTTAAGAAGTTAAAAGCTGAATGTATTGATTCTCGATGTGAGTGACTGCTCTTTCCGTCCCTCTCTCCACTCTCTCTGCAGATGCTGAGCTCCTTACTGTTTGCAGCTGTGGGTGTTTTGGGGGGTGGTTACTCAGTTATAGTTTCTGCTGTGGCCATCAACTACGGCCCTCGGTGTCTGGTGGTCATTGACGGCACAGAGCAATGGGGCACTCCCTTCTTAGATGGGTGAGACACACAAAATTATGATGTATATTAAAGGTCCCAAGGTTAAAGGTTTGACATTTTTTCAGTGTTGATCCATAAGAAGATATATTTGTGGTTTTAAGAACCAAAAACCATCTCAATGTAGTTTTACATCTCCTCTCTCAGGCTTCTCTCTGGAACTGTATTAACTTCAGGTCAGTGAGCCAATCAGAAGAGAGGAGGCTCTGAGCTGAGGCTGACTGTTTTCTGAGTGATCGAATAAAAATATAGCAGATTTCTGGTAAACACTCAGACACCGAATCCTGCAAGGCTGGATAGTGGGGGCGTTGTTTATTTTTTAAATATAATTTTTCAGTGTTGTGGGCATCACAAATATTCACCTCTTTTGTACTGAGGTCTTCAAACAAATCTTTTTTTATTGGTTTTACCTTTGCTGTAGTTCACTCTTTTAATCTTAAGTAACTGGGACTGTAGCTTACAACACCAAACTATTAAAGTGCCTGTAAACCACTGTGCTCCCTCATTGATGAACCTGCTAATCACCAGGTTAAAGTGTCCACAGATAAAAACGTGTTGTCTCTTTCTCACCCTCCCTCTCCAGATCCTACCTGTCCAACACATCTTTGTGGTCCGAGTGTCTGAAGCCGGACGGCGTGGTTAGCTGGCATCTGTCTCTGTTCTCTGTGCTGCTGGTTATGGGTGTAATCCAGGTGGCACTGTGTGCTGTGCAGGTGGTGAACGGCCTTCTGGGAGCTCTGTGTGGGGACTGCTGTAGGTGCAATGAACAGGTCAGTATCTGCTCTTACATGAGTTTACTTCAGTTGAGTCTATTTATGAGAGGAATTTGATGAATTTGAAGGAAACTCTGAATTCAATCGACATAATTTCTGTCTGTAATCAGAAATGAGACTTAGTTTTCAAAGAAGACTGAGGCAAACATAAAATACTAAAGAAATATTAATGTGAAAGAAAGCAGTCAATGTAGTATTGTGTGTGTGAGGATCTGTCAGGAAGTAAAAAAAAAAAAGAAGGTCAAGAATACCCTGTAAACCACTTACCCTCATAAATACTAATAATTAAAATCTAATCAATATACTGTTTATACCCCCATTTAACCCCAAATGTAATAAACTTGGGTGGTAATTTGAAGTTATCTGAGAGGAACTCATTAACTTGGATTCAGTGTATTACCTTATGTAACTGACTACCTTCAGGATTTTATTCACATGAAAATGTTCATGTTTGTCTTTCAGCATCATAGACATGATCATACACATGATCATAGACATCACTGAACGCATCCTGCGGCAGGAAGAAGAGAGGAAAGTCTGGAGGCAGCTGCTTTTCCTGTATTTATTTAGTTTCTTGCTTTATTTACTATACGCTGCAGAAACTTGAGCTCATTGATTACAGTGTGTGAATCTTCTAACAACACTGGTAAAATGACAGAACTCAATTTTGAAGGGTTTCCCATCAATGTGTATCTGCTGCTATTTTATGGTTCTAAAAAAATTCCACCACTAACCACCATTAATGCATTTTCTCCTCCTATATCCTTTATATAGCAACATATATATCTATATATATTTGTATCTCTATGCCTTTTTAGTGATATTCTGTAGTGCAATGGTAATATTCCATTAAACAGTAAATAAAGATGCTATTTTTATATACACATGAAAAGTAAATGGGAGAGGATGGGAACATGTTATTGCTTCAAATGTTCTGTTTTTATTCTCTAGACAAAATAAACAAAGATAACCTGCTGTAAACTATCTTTCTTTCTTATTATTTCCAATGTGTTGAATTCCATCTCATGAATGCCCCCTGCTGGGTGTTTTGGTGTGTGTAATAGATAGATAGATAGATAGATAGATAGATAGATAGATAGATAGATAGATAGATAGATAGATAGATAGATAGATATGGGATAGGTATCAATAAACAGGTTATTCAAAGTTCATGAAGTTTACTATCATTTATAATCACGTACAGCACAGCCTCACTGACTGTTTTATTTTTGAGAAACTATTCTGCACCTATCTGGGTTTAAAGAGAGTTCAATACCCTACAAGACTGTTTAGTCTTATAAAACATGCTTTTTAATTGTTTAATTGTTTAATTTATTGGTAAATGTTTCCAAAATAACATTTATTAAAATGGCTTTGATAAAACCACACTTTTAAAAGTAAAAGTGGCTATTTTCTTTCTTCTTCTTCTTTTTATTTTATTTTTATTCATTAAACTAGCCTGCTTCTACCCAGACTCACAGCATGCAGCACTCACACTGCTGCATAGTGGAACAGAAGGTAGAAAGACCATGCCGGTTCTTGGCGAACACGGAAGAAATAAACCGTGGTACCAGCTCAAAGTCGGCTAACTACTGACTGACCCTGGGGATAAAAAAGAACACCGTGTAAAATGTGAGGGTTTTATGCTGAAACAGAGGTAATTGTAGTGTCTGTGTTAAAGTAGTGTGGTTTATGTCGCGAGGCTTCAGCTGTGTAACGTTAGCTATTTATCTAGTAACGTTGTTGTATCTGTTGTGTCAAACGTTAGTCTGCGGCATGAAGCAGCAATGCTGTCAACAGTAAACTGAATGCTTCTGTCTTTCTGAGCTGTACAGTTGTAGTTAGCAGTGTAGGGATTTGAACACTAGTACATGAACCTAGTAAAGACAGACTGGTCTGACTTGTTCCTGTACCGAGTGTTTAACACTTCGCCTTGTGTCGACAGTCCGACCTCAGATCTGTGTGGAGGGGAACACTCTTTAGGTTTCTCGTTAAAGTGCACGATTTTCTAGATGCACAAAGTCCCGTTTAAACCGGAAGTATTTTCATGTGTGTCGGTTTTTGTTTGGGAGATTTGGTGTAAAATATTTTGTGTAAGATGCGCCTCTCATTAGTGAGTTTTTTCCTCAATTTCATTTTATTTTTTATATTAATTTCAGACCTGAATGACTTCATCAATTAGCCGATAGACAGAGAAATAATCTGCAGTGATGTTGATGATTAATTCATTATTAAGGTGCATTTTTGAATAAAAAATGTAAATATTATGTGGTTTACTTTGTCTATGAGAGTAAACTGGATTTGTCTCGGTTTTTAAGTGTTGGTCGAACAAATCAACCAACTTGAACATGTCAATTTATAGGGAAACTGTGATGGGCATTTTTCACCATTTCTGACAATTTATAGACCAAATGATTAACTGGGAAAATAATCTCTACATAATCTCTCATCAGTAAATAAAATCATTTGCAGTGCTAATCCATTGTACATATCATTAATTTATATTCTCTTCTACTCTTTTCTTTTCTTTTCTATTCTTATTTTATTTTTATTTTATTTTTCATTTACCTGAATAAATTAGCCTTCATTATGTGTTTCTATTCTGCCTAACCTGACCTGTTTGATTTTTCAGATGCTTACTGTCATATTTAGAGGAAGCACCTTTGCAGCCCAGAAGGTATAGGACCATTTGTGATACCCCAGCTTCCAAAGCACCATTGTTCATATTCGTATTCATTATCAAAAAATCAATTTTAAGATGAATGGTTTTTTTTCTCAGGTATTTCACTGGGCAGGTCCTCCACAAAGATGCTGGACATCAGCCTTGACTAGAGCTTCTGATGGTGGATCCGGCTCCCTGCTGGCCTGCTGGGCCTTATCAGCAAGGGCATCTACAGAAAGGGACAATGGACTTTTAAAACCTCCTGCTGTCCTTGGTTTCATGAGGACTGAGCCCTTCCTTAGGACTCAAACCCATGTTGCTCCATTCCTAGTGAGGAACCAATATTTCCACTCGTCTGCTGTGAGGTTGAAGAAGCGACTGCAGCCTGAACCTCCTCCCAGAGAGCTGGATCTGCTGCGCTATGACATGAAGGACTTGTGGAAGAGTCCCAAACCTGCTTTGTACCTGGGGTTTGCAGGGCTGATCCCCTTTGTGGCCCCTGCTGTGCTCATGGCTGTGACTGAGAGCTACTTCCCAGAACTGGCCTATGCACAGTTAGCCTACGGTGCCTCCATCGTTTCCTTCCTGGGTGGAGCACGCTGGGGATTCGCTCTTCCTGAAAGCAGCCCAGCCAAACCAGACTGGATAAACCTGGCCAACAGTGTGGTTCCCTCCCTGTTTGCCTGGGTGGCCATGGTGATGAGCGACAGCATCGTTCCCGCAGCCACCATGGTTATTATGGGACTTGGAATCTCGTTGCATTATGATCTGTCTTTGCTGCCCACTTACCCCAGCTGGTTCAAAGCCCTGCGCTCCATCCTGACAACTGTGGCATTTTTTTCTCTAGTTGGTACACTCATAATAAATGGAATATACCCAGAAAAAAAACTTTTTTCAGATTAATTAATATAAAAAAAATTTAATACTGTAATACTGGACAAGAGATTCCTGTATTTACACCACAGTTTTGTTTTGATGATCCAACATCAATGTAATTCTTTATTATTTGTCTGCCCCATTAACTGTCTTAATCAGAGAGAGACGTGTAAGGTTGAATGCTTTTGTTAGGAGTTGTATGTTTTTATGTTATGCCACAGCCTGACCTGTAAAATCAACAGAGAAAAAAAATATTTCATGTGCACCATCTTTCACAAATGGGGTGCAGTTACCTAAAGACAAAATTATGTTTCCTCTTTTCTTGTCCAAAGGTTTTGTCTTCCGCATCCAGCCATTATATTAAAGCCTCTATGTGTAGAAAATGTGAATGTGAGTGTACAATCTTTGACATTGTTCAGAGGAAATAAGTATTTGTCAGTGATTTTTAAAACTGCCACTAGGAGTCGCCAAAGGTAAAGAATTTCTAATCTTAGAATGGAAAAAAAATCATGTCCAATGCTTAAGTCCATGCTTAATGAATATAAAATAAATGAGCTTGTATCTTATAACATTTGTTGTTCTTTTTTGACTAAGGAAGATTGATCATTTAATCAACATTTTTATAGTTTTTTCAAATCATTTACAAAGTGATGCCTGAAATCTGTGTTTTTAAGGACACTCAGAAGTGATTAATTTAGGTTATTTAGGTTACATATTTAAGAATCTGTAACCAGCAAATGTTTCATGTTTTAATTTAACAATTATTCTGTTATCCAAATCCAAATAAGTTTTGATTTGAGGTTTTTTTCAGCAGGGATTTGATAGCAGGAAAAGCAATTCTTTTCTCTCAGTCCCTTTGTTAGTGTACTATTACTAATTAGTAGAGCCACTCTTACTGTGTCCTTTTACATGCTTAGGATCAGACAGTTAAAGTCAGGAGTAATGACATCACAGGGGAAAAGGGTATTACATAAGATCTGAAATGGAGTAATCTGTACTTAAAGCCTCAGGGTCAACTGCACACCATCAGATGGCACAACACACAGGGCTCCAGTGAAAGCTTGTACTCGGTTTAGAATATATGGAGGTTTAAAACTAATATCAAATACATTCATTCAAATTAAAACTCATTTTAACCACAACAAACTGAAAGTAAATGCACTCAAATCTTCTCGTGTGTATTCAAATGTTTTTATTACTGTAAACACCAGTGTCTAATTAGCCAAATATTGGAAAGAAAGGCAAGAAAAGGGAGGGTGGAGAAGTCCACAGACATCTGAGAGAAATCACATAAGGCACATTACTCCCCTGCTCACAAAACTCACTGAAAAGGTGCCATAATAATGTCCGATATCAAGGGGACCTTTGTGGAACTAACAACACAAGTGAAATCCATTCTCAAAAGACAATTCCTGCCTCAGAAATTAACAGTGAATGTCCAATGTGTAAATACATTATTGCACTTTGAAAGTTTCCTCAGATTGCTCACACAATATTCAGGGGAGCTGTATAAAGCTGGAACAGTGTCTGGAATTAAATGAACAATGACACTTATCAACTGACTGACTACTTTTGATAATCACAGAGAAGAAATAGCAAAATTATGTTACCCCACTTTAGCAGATGATATCTTGGATTTCCCATCAGAATCAAGACTGGTACAATAAGGTGCTTTTTGGTCAAATATTAGAGGAACATGTGACACATTTCTGGTGACGTGACATCAACAGGACCAATACTTAAAATGACTTATATAAAAACATTGACATTTCTACTCAAACTAACAATTAAACCAAACATAAATGTCTTGAAATCAAAAAAAAAAAAAACCTCTCCAAGTGTATGTGTTTTCAAAAGGTCTTAATATCCACTTCTTTGGTTGATTAAATGGAAAGTCAGTTGACCCAAACTCTGCCCTGAGACCCACAGTGCACTTAAATCTTTGGGTGCATCATAAATGCAGTCTGGACAACCTCCACACAGATGGAAACACTGTAGGAGTCTTATTTATTATTATTATGCGAGTGCTGCAGGATTTTCTAAACAGCTTCTTTTTCATAGTGGCTCAACAGTTTAGCCAGAGTCCTGCAGTCACTTTAAAACTTCTACAGTGTCTCTATCTGCAGCAGTCTGAGTCCAGATGTTGGGTGACCTACAGGTAAACAAGTTCTTTACATGACAGTTTCCCTAATATGTAAGAAGGGAAGTGTTTTGAAATACGACATTGCTGCACATCATTTTATACTCTGGTATTCACGGATGACTCTGCTGCCTACTTCTGAATCCCCAGGCCAGAGCGCATGTACTCATACACCACGTAGCTGATGCTGACAGCCGGTATGACCTTCATGAAATTGGGCAGGATGCCACGGTAAAGTCCAAAGAAGCCTTCCTTTTCCAGAATCTTCTTCACCATGCGGTTCATTGGCATCTGCTCTGAGCCCTCCACAGAAGCTGAGAAAAGAGAGTTCAAAACACACGATAAAGGAAAACTGAAGTTTGTGACATTTCTGGGTTTTTGTCATGTTCAACGCTTATATATTTGGACAGTAACATAGTTTATTTTCTTATCTCCTTGTGGCAGCACAGGGGATTTGAAATGACACAATAACGGATATTAAAGAGCTGTCTTCAAACAGTGTAGGATTTTTTTTTTTTTTTTTTACACATAATCCCCCGAACAGGGCTACAGCTCCTACAATGATCCCCAAATAACAGTTATAAATGCCCTCAGATTAAAGGGGAGAGTCAGCACTTTAACATCATAGTCACTGTTTTGTTTCAAATCCAATGTGTTGAAGTACAGAGCCAACACAGGAAAACTTAAAGACTGCACTGTACCAGGTGTCAGCAGATCAAGTTACTACTTAATAAGCACAATCAATCATTTTTTCTTAAAGTTTATGAGCCATTTGAACTAATCTTATGTACAATATTGAAACACACTCCAACCTACTAACAGAACACCATCAGAAAAAACATTTATATGAGCTTTTGGCTTTGAGTGGTATTTACTCAGTTTTTACCTTAGCTACACTATATGCCTTACCAAGGCTATCCCCCCGCAGTGGAATATAACAAGGTGCATTTATAAGTATGATTTTGAAGTACTTGTACTTTACCTAAGTATTTTCATTTTCTCTGTTACTTTATACTTCTACTCCACAACATTTAGGAGACAAATATTGCACGTTACTTCACTACGTTTATATCCCAGCTTTAGTCACTTTTCAAATTCAGATTTTGCACTGTATATGATCGGTTAATAAAATGTGATGCCTTTGTGACTATGTGTATGTATTTTTGTAATTATCTTTTTATTCACTTTTTAATCTCTGGATAAAATGGTCAGTGCACTGGCTAGATACCAGCAGTGACATTGTTTTTTTTAAATGGGGTTTGGTCATCATACCTTGAGCCTGCATCCTGGTGCGGATCAGAGCCAGGGGGTAGCTGGCTAACTGGCCACATGTGCTGGATATGGTGCCACATCCAAGCAGTACCAGAACACCTGGGTTAGCTGTGTCTTTGGCGTAGTGGGACAACCAGAGGTTCTTCAAACTCTGAGGATGGATACACAGAATGTCTTAATTTTTCATACTTAACAAAGTCAATGTATGGCATCTACAGAAAATATCTGGCCTTTTATTGTTTATAGAAAGATGTGTATGAAAGTAGAAGTTTGGATCTATATTTTCCAGATGAGAATCATTCATCACCACGTACCTCGTATACTGCAAGATCTATCCCAGCGTAGGGAATGATGCCCAGAATATTGGGAATGTAGCCCTTGTAAAACGCCTTCACTCCCTCCTTTTTCATGATTTTCTTGGCACAGTCAAACATTCCTGAGTACTGCCCGGTCTTCCTCAGGGTCAGACGAGTTTTCATCACCTGAATAGACAGAATTTATCACTATTCTTCACCAGGCAGCACTTTGACCTTTTAAAGCCAATGTTAGCATATAGATAGTGAGTGCTACATACTGAAGAGATTATTTATATTCATACAAAATATTATACTCAAAATGTTTATTTTCTGCTAGGCTTGATCCTGTACTTCTTGTGGTAATCTATTCTGATGTTTTACCATTTGCAAAAATTCTTATTTTTTTAATTCCTTTGGCTATAATTAAGTCCACAATGTGGGAGAAATAAGTTCAAATGAAAATGAAATTGATGAGAGATCACCTGACTGATTTTCTTAATTACTGGATTTTTAACTGCTCTAATATAACAACAAAGCTTCATTATCCTATCAGGAAAGCCATCTGTATAATTTCTCGCATTACAGGCACAACATACAAAGCTATTCATTCTAAAAAATCATGTCACAAATCAAGCACAATTAATGTAGACCCAACAAAAAAATACAAATGTCAACACCACATATTTATGAAAATGAATCTTCTTTAAAATAATGCCAATTTTAGCACACAGAAATGCAACACAAACACTGTACATACTATATATGTACATCACATGTCTCCACAAGTTGTGGAAGGTTGTTTGCCTGTCTATTCTGTGGCCCCTGTAAATATTACTACCACAAACAAAGACATACAAACCCTCCATGTTTCTCTACTGTTAAAGCTACATCTCTGCTCACCTCCATGGGGTAGATGGCAGTTTGTGCTGTGGCTCCAGCCATTGATCCAGCCATGAACCTCTCGTGGGTCTGGACCTTCCCTGGCTCACTGGACAGCAGCTTCTTATACTGTTGAAACACAGTAAACACAGGAGTGAGGCATAAATACTCAATGAGAATCTATTCAGGATCATCTAATGTCAGTATTCAACTTCAGCTGAAACTGCATTTTGTGGTATTACTATACTACAGTATGCTATAGTACAACATTATGATCTTTGATAGTAAAAAGTTATATCTGCTGGTATGTGCTGCTCAAGCAGAATGAACATTACTAGCACTGTTAAATAGCAAAATATAATTCATTTTTATTTGGCTGCAGCCAAACCTGAGGTGTGTGAATGAATTTACCTGTTCATAGGCCATGAACTTGATGGCCGTCTCAGGGGCGATCTTCAGGACGTTAACACCGTTTCCTCTCCACAGAGATGTCACACCTCCTTCTTTTAACATTTGCTTGAAACCACTAACCAGGCTGATTTTGTTGCTCTTAGAAGAATGCACCTGGAAATAATTAAAAAAACAAAAAACTTGAAACTGTACGCCATGACTTTAGAAAGGAAATATATTTATGAAGTATGTCTTAGAAGCATGTAAAAATACAATATATACAAATATAAACAAGAACAGGTTAACGACCTAAATAAGGAATTTATTTTTACTTTAGCCACATTATGTATAGGATCATCCTCTTCCTTTTCAATTGTAGACTAGTTCTGTACCATTTCAGCAAACAACACAAGTATGATCATATGTGGGATCACTTTATTTTTATTAAAATACTGAAAATACTGAATACTCTGCACCCTGTTTGGATTAAACCATGTTTTTGTTTGCTCTGAATGACATATGGTCCCCTTAACAGTACATCTACCAACCCCTGAACCCAATAAGCACATTCAGATCATTCAATATGTGATTTATGAAGTAAACAACCAATAAAAGTGCAAGTCATATCACACACCTGCATGAAGACCTTCATTCTGTCCAGTGGGGCAGTTCCTGTACGGGACACAGCACCTGCCATGGCTCCTGCAGACAGCTGCTTCCACCACATACCAGTGGTCTTCTCCTCCTCTGTGAACTCATCTGGGATGGCGAGGCTGTCACCAATGTCCAGCACCTACACACAACATAATACCATTTAATCACAGTCAAGGATATTCATTAAATACTGTGTGAAATGTGTTTAAGCGCTAATTCTGGCAAGTGTTTTTGAATCAGTTTTTGTCTTTTACAATTTTAATGAAAATGTGCATTAGTTTTAGCCGAGTTTTTATTACTTTCAGTTTAGTTTTCGTCAGTGAAATATTCGTCTCATTTTCGTCACACATTTATATTCATTGCTTTATTCAGTTCAATGCTTTTTGAAGCTACAGCTGCCGCTATCTTGGTGTGCAGTTACCATGGTTACAGGCGTCTCTGCAGTACTACACAACACAGACTCACTTGAGTAAGTCCAGCTAGCATTTCCAAACTCTCTCTGTTAGAACAGAGACTAGAATCGTACTATTACCATTACGATTGTTCATGCTTACCTAGTATTACAGCAGCTAACTGTGGATTAACTCACCTAAAATATTCTTAATTTTGGGGTTTATTTGAGAGGAGGCGCTATATATATAGTATATATTGTTATCTTTGTTTAGCTAACACCTAGAGGACGGCACTAAAGATACCTGCCTGAAACTAACGTTAATGTTAGCTCCACGTCGATGTCGTTGTGCTGCCTGCTCTGTTTTCATAGTTTGAATCAGATGGGTTTTTTTCCGCCTCGTTTAAATTTCAGTGGATTTGGGATGCGAGCAGTTTCTTATTAACAGTTGTGTAACAGCTTAAGCAGCTAAATCATCCGAACAGCGGAGGAAACTTTTATCAGGTGATACATGCATGTTGCTGAAGACTACATTAAAACATGTCCATTCGTCCGTCTTTTACATTATGTTTAGTTTATATTCGTTGAAAAATGTAATACATTTCGTCATAGTTCTCTTTACAAATGTATCTCTCTTTCAAGTTTTAGTCAGTTTCGTCATGAAAAAGAAGGTCGTTAACAAATATTTCTCCCATCACATTAGCTTTTTATTACATTAAAAATTAATCATTAAAAAATTATTAAAGCTTTTTATTTATTAAATGTCAACTTGTCAGTTCTCTCTCAAACTTTTATATGTAAACTTTTATATTTATGAGTGGTTTGTTCGTCATAGATCTGTGTGTATCGAATTGCTCACTTGTGGACTGCTTTTGAGATGCATTTTAACACACAGCCTCAAAACCACAGGTGACTCGCAGCATCACCTTGAATTAAACGCCTGGCAGGACCACACACACCATGTCCTCATCCAAAATCTTGCATAACTGCAGGTCCATGCTGAGAGATTAATTACATCACTGCAGGGCATTTTAGAAAACAGGTTGTCTCAGTAACATAAAATCAGGTCAGATTGAAAAATGTGTGGACAAAATCCTCATGTGATAAGAAGGCTTGTATTGATATTAGTGATTAATCTTAAAACATATTGTCTTGTACTCAGACTACTGGTTCAGTCTTTGCTATGAAACCACAAATAGATGTGTAACAAATGAATAACATTTAGAGAAAACATTGATGTGAAACATCACATTACATCTGATTTGAGATTAGAACATGGAACCAATCTGTTGTCATATAGATGAAGGGCCAACAACATGAGCGTCTATACAATGTAATAAAACCTACCTACCTTTGTGAACCTGATAACATTTCTGTGAATTGAGATTTTGTCAGAGATGCGATAATCTGATTCTAAGATGATTTTTGTGGCTGTTTGAGTTATTGTACTATGTTGTATTTTATGGTAAACATAATACTTTGTCATCTCTTGTACGTACACGAAAGCGGAAGGACAACATATTAAGAACACCTTATAATATTAATCAATCCAAAAAACTTCCACCAAAACTACACTACACCCTCAAACTATAACTATAACTATATAGGTATAGACTATAAAATAAAAAGAGTCCACCCAGTGATGGATCTTTGAGGGCAATCTTGAAATCAACATTTGACACTTTTAACAATCCAATAACAATATACAAAATGTTAATTTTAAACATAAAGATACATTTTTGCGAAGGATCTCTCAAATTAGCTTAATATAGAATTGTGACTGTACTTAGCGAGACTTTTTACAGTAAATGGACAAAGTACATACTATACTACTTACACTAAATCTAAATTACCTCAAAATATCTCTGGCATTTCTGTACTGCAGTTTATTGTTATTTACTGGCTGACACATACACCAATACGTATATACAGTATACATGTTAAGCTACCCACAGCTCTACTGTAAAGACACTTTCTTTGAATTCATGACCAGATGGCAAACTGAACCGAAAGGGGCAATACACAGACCTACCATATCCACCTCCACCTCATAGATCCCCCCATCATCTTCAAAGTCGATGAAAAACCAGTTTCTCTGGTGTTGCTGCTGCTGCTGAGGCTGCAGCAGAGCCATGGCCATCTCACACCTTGGATGAAGCTGATCCAGTACTATGTAGTCCCAGTTTTGTAGAAGCTGCACCCCTAAACTGATCTGGATCCTTTACACGATTCTAATGAGGTGCCCTGTCAGATCCAGAGGGTCTGCAGATCCAATCCAGCCTGAGGTGAGAAACTCTAACCATCGGTGTGTATTCTGGAGGTAGGAAAGCTCTCATTGCCATAGATGTTACCAACCACTGTTTCAGTCTCACCCTCCCCTCTCCTGTACTGTCCCGTTCTAGACTCGCTTCCTCTCTCGTCGACCTGTCCCAATCCCACTGACGAGCTAATCCCCCCCCCACAGGTCAGACTGAAATTAGCTTATCTCTGCCAAGTTTAGCAGCTACAGGTTTATTTAACCTCTGAGGTTGTGCCAGTGAACACAGGCAGCAAACGTCAGAGATTAGCCATTGACTGGAACTGGCATGCAACAATTGTACATGTCAAGGTATTAATTCCACTTAGCCAATGATATGCACTTGAAAATTCAGTTTAGCGTGGTAACAGTTGCAATCGCTGTTGTAAAAAAGGTCTTTGTGAAAAAGTAATGTCAAGATTCTTTTCCGGTGTCAACCTCTTATTTCTTTACAGTACAGACTTGATCACATTTAGAAGATACAAACTCTTCATAGTCTCCTCCTCTCATCATGCTCTTTCCCCACGTCTTTCCCTCCTTTTCTCACCTCTCCCCTGAAAATGAATGAGCTTAATCTGTTGACGCAGAGGTACTGATCTGTTGCCAAAGTCCTCTGCCAAATCCATCAGCTGACAACTCTCTTTCACAACTTTCCCCTTTAGTGCTGGGTTGGATCTTAAAGTGAGGTCTGAGACGCACAAAGGACACTGAGGGAACAAGTTGGACGATTAACTCTTTTGCCTCCACATTGCTTCCATTTTAATTGAAATGATGAATGATGTCCAGCTTGTGATTTTATTTTTCAATGTGAGAGCATCCTCGACCTGCTCAGATTAGCCTTGGCTCCAGGGCAAAATGACGGTTATGAATAAAATGCGTATTTTATGACTAATTTAGTTTTCTTGGCTGTAATCACACCTCTTTTCATTGAAGAGAATATGTGATCGCAAAATGACTTGGCATGAGGAAGTTTGGGACATGTTACTGTCTCTTCCACAGGAAACAAAATCTATTCACCTGCACTAACCATTCATGGTAATGTAATCAAAACAAAGGAGACATTAACAAGGAGTTAAAAATACTCAGCTTTAAAGTTAGATCCACTCCATGAAAACAGATCTTTACTCTGCAGTGTTTTTGTTAATATTATTCTCTCTGTGTCATTTATTAAACCTTACACTGTAATTTACACTAAAATACTTTGCAACATACTGGCCATTATTTTGGTCTGTGTTTTATGGGTGTATTGCTGTATTATGGATGCATACAGTGTTGTTACTCAATGGTGCCTGCCCCTTACCGTGGTGTGCTTCCAGTAGCGGATAATGTCCTGCAGGTTGGTGGCAGGGTTAAACAGGAAGTGCTCCCTCCATTCATTCCAATCCACAGTCATGGTGCCGTCCACGTCGATACTGTACAACAAAGACAAACAGGAGAAATTTTACTTCACGTCTCCAATGATGTGATCTTGCCTCAATTGTCCTGTCTATAAAGGCACTAGTTTGAGCTTTGTATTGGCTGATGTACAGAGATGTGTTCATCCTCCTTCATCTAAAGTTTTATTTTATTTTAAAATGTGAACTCAAGAACCAGACTCATAACTGTAACCATTTATGTGAAGGAAAATAACTGTGGACATTATTATGAGCAAACAAGCAAACACCAACTAAGGATGGAAAATACACTGAATTTATCTAATAACACATTATAATTATTTTACCAAGCTATATTTGTAAATTTCTTAAGCATTTTTGGTAATTTTGCCTTTTTTATTAGACAAATGTAGAGAAGAGCTGACTGGAGAGGAGGGGAGATAGTTGGATCACATACAACAAAGGTCCCTAGTCTGACTTGAATCTGAGATGTTGCAATTATGGCTGACACTTAAACCCCTAGGCCATTAGGACAAACTTTTCAATTTTCAATAAATACATTGTCTGAATACTAAATAAACCTAGAATAGTCAGTGACTGATATCTAACCAGACGTTTAACATGTCAATCAATCCACAGTCCAGAATCTGTGGGATTAACATAAAGTACAAGAAAAGTAACATCAGGCACTAATTTATATTTTAGAAAACATAATTACCATTATATTTATCACAACAGTGACCTCTCTGCCAAAGGAAACAGACAACTGGATCGGTAATAATGCTGATACTAGATACTGTTCCAAATTCCATTCACTTTTTAAACCAATTAAGTTGCTCCTTACCTCTGCTCATTCAGAGAGAGAGAAAGAGATTTGCCTGATGCTAACAGATCATGGTGAAAGAGAATACAAACAAGAATTAGGTCACAAGTCATTAAGAGTGAAGTCATGCAAATCACCACCAATTATAACACTAAAAAAAGCTTTATATGAAGTCCTGTTAAAGAATAAAGTATCACACAAAATGAATAACTGAAATAGTTTTGAGCTTGTTTTTGTATGTTTTCAAACAAATTTATAAGAATATGGAAACCAAGTCAGTTCCCCTTTGGTCACCTCTACAAGTAATGTCTGTCCTCATCTGCCTTCAGTGTAGGTCTTTTATTTCCTTCCTCTGTGTCACTTCAGTTGGGTAGCACACATATCATCACTCTGTGGTTTTCAAACAAATCTATCAGTCTGATTCATTGTCATACACATCCTGCTTTACTTCTCTTTCTCGCTGTGTGTGCAGCTTCAAACTTTGTATATGCAAATACATGACATACTGCTCAGCTCCCTGCATAAACCTGAACAAACTTGCAGAGCAACAACACTATGAAGTTCTGTGTCTTTCTATTATAGTCAGTCAGTTTCTTTAAACTATACTTATACTCTCGCTGATACAATAATCTGTTTTAATTAGATTTAAAAATTGATGTGGTTTTGCACAGCATTAAAATGACAGCAGGGCTTTGGAGTAAGCCTTAAATATGGTATACATCCTCTCCAAGTTACAATTTTTAACAAGGGACGTCATAGGGACTAAATGTTTGTTTCCCCACGTCCAGACATAATTAAACATTACCAAGCAAGCAGCTAATGGGAGAGCCTGCTTTCTCCTTACATCTCAGTATAACAGTGCAATGAAGGAAACGAGGGTGCAACAAGTTTTTTTGTTTCCCCTGTGGTAATAGGATCTGACCAATCACTTCAGTCAAAAAGATTCATGATTGGATGAGAGACACTAAAATTTTTACTGAAAGGATAGCAAAAAATTTTTCTAGCACTCTTAGCAATACAGATACTGGGTACTGTGGTAACACTTTACTTTAAGCCCCCTTATTTAGCATTTATAAGCAGTATGCAAACATTTTATAAATGCATCATACACTGAAATGTAGCTGTAAGCAGGTATAAGTACATTTTTGTGTGGACCGCAACAGCAGGGCCAGCCCTATAAACAAATGTCGCTGACTGACTGAGTGATGAAGTTACACAATTTGTCTTGGCACGAACAAGCAGTGTTGCCATCTTAGCCTGCTGTGTTAGTGTTTAATTATGTATTTGTCAACAACTATAACTCCTATGGTAATGTATATTATCATTGATTGGTAAATATCTATCTGTATTTAATTTTAAAAAACGAATAAACGATTTCTGCTACAGAGGGTGCAGGATGGAAAGAAATCATTCACTTTCAGCACATAACTGTGCTTTTATACTTACAAAACTGTGTGATTGCAATAACAACTTACAACCAATTAACTTGACCAAATGATTAGTGTTATGGTATCTCAAAGAACTGCCCATCCAGCTTTGCCACCAAAAGTTTGAACACTTGCTGGCTGACAATATGCGGTTTGTTCAACCATTGGTACCTAGTCCTGCAACACATACATCACTGAGCTACCTCTACATTTACAGAAGGGTCCAAAACTCAGAGACCACCTTCTGCACATTAGCATACTGTCTACAGCCCAGTCAGACTTTTTTCCAGCTCTTTATCTTGTACCATGTACACTTTAAACAGTTTATCAGTCCCTCACACTGGTCCCCACCTTTAATATCTTGGGCTCCAAACTGCTTTCTTTCACTTTTAGTTTAAGATTATGAGGTTTATGCCACAATCCACAAGTGACAGGAACATTTTAATGAACCTGGGTCAATACATTTACGAGCAGCTACAAAATAAGCAGAAATACCTTTTAAGGATCTTCTCTGCATCCTCCTTGGTGATTTCCATTCCCAGCTCAGCAAGCGACTGCTTTATCTCCATGAAGTCAATTCGACCTGTTGAAAATAAAAACACAGTAGTTTCAGGTAAATTTCCAACATTAATTCAAATACTATTTGTACTGTGGTTAAATCCATAAACATGAAGTTTGCTGGAAAACAAAACGACACCATACCATCATTGTTTTTGTCCAAGCTCTTGAAGGTCAGCCGTAATTTCTTCTCATGCTCCTTTAGGTACTTGGAAAACTCATTGAAGTCGAGCCCTTCATCTTTGTCTTGGTCTCCGGAGGAAACTATTTTCTGAAGAAAAAAAAACCCAGTATATTATCAATCCAGTTTCTTCATGTCATACAGCGTCCACGTCTGTTGGCTGTTAGGTGCCTGACCTGCACACTGAGTGAAGGTAGAAGTTTTGGTTCTGCTGTGACATGAGGCAAGTCTGCCATTTATTCCTCAAACAGCAGCTGCTGTTGCTGCTTCTGCCAGTTGGTGGCAAAATAACAGAGAGAAATGCTCCCTCACTTTATCTGAACTCACTTCCTGTGTAAGCTCCATGACTGAGGCCTATTTGTCTTCCATTATCTTTCCCTTCCATAATTTATGCTGCTACCTTTTGATTTTATACTGTCTGCTTTACTTTCAATGATTTATCTCTGTTTTTGTGGAGGGATTATCCTAGGTCAAGAAAGAATTTCATTCAGTTGTCTTGCTACGCTGTAATGTTGCACAAAAATGTGCTGATTCAGGATCAGTTCCTCAAGAGATCAGCTGAAACCTAAACCTCTGTGTTACTATTGAACTGTTTCACAAGTCAACAGGTGATCCAAGTCATGTGGGTAGGTGCAATCCATATGGAAAATTAATGAATGGAATGAAAAATAAGAATTATTATGATGCATATGGACTCTACTGGCCAAATGATGCTGTTGGAATAGCAGCCAGTGCGCATGTTTATTCCCTCTTTATCATATCATTATCATGTAATTGCTCGGATAGGGAGCGCTCCTGTTTTATAGCACCTGGTCACATGCAACACTGACCTCTTCTTCTGTCCTGACTCATGCTATTACAGGTAACGGACTCACTAATGAGCGTGAGGAATGCAAGACTATTTGATTAGTAAAGGTGGGACCATCCCTCTAAAAAGTCACAACCTACAGATAAAAAGCTCACCTACACTTGTTTGACCTTTAAGCCGGTTTGAGAAGTTCAGGCACACCTTTTTATCATCAACTCTGCTCTTTACCAGCCTTTCTGTTACAAGATCACTGATATAGTCGTGCTCCAGGCGGTTTGTAATCATAAGAAAAAAATGTGTGACACAAGCCTGAGGACTCAAATTTTCAGACTCAAATTGAGATTCTGAAAATTTCTCATGAAGGTGTAACTTCAATTTGCATATCAGCTTGCAAGAAGCTGAACTTCAGCCTTGTCAAACACTTGGTCATTCATGGGTTTAGCTGCCAAAGTATGTTTGTTTTCCTTTTATATTTCTGTTTAATCATCTGCTTATTTTTTTTTTATTTGCATTATTGAGATTAAAGAAAAATACTGTGAAAACATGAAGACAACAGATATGCAACAGCAGTGCATGAAAATAATGAACTCCCTCCCTTTTTTCATATTAGACTTGTCAATGTGAGAACATCTTCTGGAGATCATCATTTCACCAAAGGGAGTGTTTTTTGGTTTAGGTGACCTGAGTTTAGGTTTAAGATTAGGATTAAAAACATAAGCGATGGAACAAATACTCCATTCGTTTTTTAATTTAACCTGGGAAGACAGGAATGTTGCACGCTCCCAGTTATACACCCGCAAACTCGCCGTGAACTACCACAGTCTGATCTGTTTGACACTGAGTAGACTCACTGTTGCAGTTTGGGGTTAACTGCCTTGCTTGAAGGCACCTCAGTGGCGGTGATCAGAGAGCAGCAAAAATAGCTCTTTCGAGTCATGAATTCAAGATTTTACTGCATCAACGAAAAAATTCCCAAACTTAGATAAAATTAAATTGAAGATATAATAAGCTTAATATACTGATGTGAAGATCATGTGATACACTGGGAAAGCTCCAGAACTGATACTTAATGGCTCATAAAACATCAAATCTACATTTCCGTGAACACTACAGACAAACCGCATCTGTTGAGAAAGGTCATGTAATATTAAGGAACGCTCCTGAACAACTACTAAATGGACCTCTTGCTGAGACACTGATATCTCAGCTGTTCAAATAATGTTTTAAAATGTAATGTATTGCTCCTGAATTAGTGACACTGCAAACTTTTTACCAGACACCATATTTACAATACTGATTGGGTAGTATTTGGAACAACTACTGCGAAATAAATATAGTACAACGTGCAGACAAGTAAAGTAGTGGTTAAGTTAGTAGATGAGTTGACCACTGATGAGTAATTTTAAGTCATTTATCTAGGAACATTGCCAAACATTTACTATCAAAAAAATAATCAACAGAGTAAATGATAAATAGCTGCAGTCATAAACTAAAGTGAATGAACTGGCAGCATCTTGAATGAATGTACTGAGGCCTGTAATTAAGAGTTGGGGTTAACACTGAGGAACCAGCCTGTTCAGTTTATTCAGGAATGCAGTGCTACAGTAAGTATTTGTGACAACTTTCTCTCCCTATAAGGCCTTTATCTTTTTGTCAACTGTTCATTCTGCATCCATGTCTCTACCTGAGCTGCTCCTTTCCCGGTTTTGATGCCCATCGCAGCCAGGCCTGCCTTCAGCTCGGACACATCCACTTTCCCATCTTTATTGGTGTCCAGCTTGGCAAACAGATCCTCGTACTTTGTCGACGCATCTTCTGCACACTGGCAGTCCGTAAAAAACAGTTTCCTTACGACTTGATACATGGTTGAATAGAGAGTGAAATCTACAGAGGCCTCTACAGCTCCTCACACACACTCACTCACTCACTCACTCACTCACTCACTCACTCACACACACACACACACACGCACACACACACACACACACACACACACACACACACACAAGTTGGGAAACTGGGCAGCACACACAAATCCTGCGGTTGTCACTTCTGGTTTCAAGCAGTTGGACGGTCCCGTGTTTGTTTCAAAGAGATTTCCGCAGTGCAGCTTAGAAAAAAAGCGGTACAAAAGTCTTCATAAACTGGTGTAGTGTGTAATCCGGTAAACAACGAATATAATGTAGATTTACAGAACGCAGTGGCGGATGAGGTAGGTTAGTAGCGCTGAGAAAAAGGGTGGGGAGATTCGGTTCAGTTTGCAAGAGAAGACCTCCTCTTTTACTGCGCGCACACACACGCATACGCACATTACGGAGACACACCCTTCAACAACAACACACTGATCTGTAACTACAAGTATATTGTTTCATGCTGTATATTTCCATTTATAGCTGCCAAGACAGGTGAAACTTTTACTTTATAATTTTCTTCAAAAAACTTCTATTCATCATGCATTATTAAGCTTTTACGTTGTGATTTTTTACACACACGCCAACAGGATACAGACTATGTATTCATATACAGTATAGTATAATCCCTGCCCCCATAGTGGGCTCATTGGTACAATGTTAAAATGAGTAATCTGTTTCAGTTCAGTGAGTCATACCCACAGGAATCTGACAGCTGGTCCAAACAAAACATGTCCCCAGAAGTTTTTAATTGGGGGTCCATTATTTTGAAGGCGAGAGAGGCCGAGAGGTGGATGCTGTTGAGGGTGGAAGACATCAGCACCAAGGAAATGTTGGCATTTAAAAGAGGAAATCCGATCAACTGGATGTCAGATTGATCTCTTAAACTCTTATTTTTCCATCCTGGTCTATTTTTACAAACTCATAAATAAGTTTTAAAATCCTAGTGTGGATCCCAGAGTTTCAAAAGATGCCAAATGTTAGACTGATATTTTTATTATTATTATTATTATTATTATTATTATTATTATTATTATTATTACATTAATATTAATATTATCGTTGTTGTTGTGCCGGTGTAAGAATAGTATCGGTTATTGCACAAGAAAAAAGATTAGGAGAAATAGATAAATAACATATGACGGATGGCTTTGAAGTAAAAACAATTTGAAGTGTGTAAAATATTTGTCTTCAAAAGTGCTTTTCATAGCAGTGGCTACATTGTACCACAAGGTGGCGGCAAATGTTATGTAACAGCAGCTGCTTTCACTTTGTTGTTATTATCTGATCAATCAGTGCTGCTGTTGTCCTGACTGTCGCCAGGGGGCGATAGAGGGAGGAGGCGGGCTTTATTGAACTACAATCAAGGTAACAGCTGACATCACAGTACATCCGTTAAATATATACTTACTTCAAAATAAAAGACAGATAACTGAAACAAAACAGAAAACCTAAGTGGTATCTAAACATTTTTGTTATTCTTTGAGTGAGATGTAATTAACCATTTCCTGTAACTTTGGATCACATGGACGGTGAATATGACTGATTCAGAAATGTTGTAGAAGGAGGATTGGCTGCCTAAAAACACTGAAAGCTGTGATGTTAGGTATAGGAGGTAATACTGAGTGCTTAATAACGTTTTGCATTTTCAAAAATGAATTTTGATAAAGCTTTTCTGAGAGATGATTATAAGTGGACAATGTTACACGGATTCTGTTGAAAATGTGTTAAAGAAGTGTTTATTCAACTGTACGAACATTTTGGAGGGCTGCAGTTTGTGGCGCTGTTAAGCTGCATTGTGTTATGATGACAGGTGTTTTTTTTATTATTTTGTGAACCCCTTTCAAATCAATGTGGGTAGGATAAACAGCAGACACACCTCTCTGTATAATGCACTACAGTTCAACCTTCATGAAGGTAGGATTTACTGCAGAAATGTTAGACATTAGACTGCATTAGTTTTAGCTAGGTGTTCCTAATAAACTAACAACTGGGTCTAAGAAGGACATGAACATGGCTGAGGCCCATTTGAAATTATGTGCTTTCTTACAAGCTTTAGATAAGTGGTATGAATCTTTAACAATATAAATATTAAAGCTAAGAAGAAAAAAGTGCCTTTATTTTGAAAATCCAACAGAGGAAGTTGCTCTCCTTCTTCGCGTCACTCAATGTGACTGTTGTCACCAGCAGCTTCACCATCCTCCCACAACACAACACTACACTGTATCTGTGCCACAACACAATGGGGCTGTAATGTCAGCGACGGGCGAGATTAGAGCATCTTCTCAACAGTACTGAGTCTGTGTATGGATTTAATGATGATGAAAAAGAAGAAATTCAAGTTCAAGGTGGATTTTCAGCTGGACGAGCTCTCGTCGGTCCCCTTTGTCAACGGTGTCCTCTTTTGTAAAGTCAGATTGCTGGACGGCGGCTTCTCCGAGGAGTCCTCTCGGTGAGGATGTTTGGTTTTAATACTGTTTTATATAACACTAACAGGAGTATTTTCTATAACGCGCAGGGTTAAACTATCTTAGTAGCCTATTAAACTACGTGCATAGCTAACCACCTAGCAGGCTACGAGATTAACCAAACGTAAACGAGCTAACGTCTGTCAGTTGTCTACCACTGTTACGGTGTTTTAGTTGTTCAAATTCAACGTTACTGTCCACTCAAAGCTATTCTAACTGAGTAGAGCTGGGCAATATTGTAAACTATATGTTAGCATTGACTGGAGGAAACATACATTTGCAAATGTAACAACTAGTGCTTAGAAATATCCGTTAATTAGTTGGCATTTTCTTCATGTTCAACACGACATCGTCTTTCTCAGGCGAACTTCCTCGCTGGGTTGTGGATTGATTCATTGATTTGACACATAACTGCTATAAAGCTAAGTGTCACTCCTGTATAGCTATTGCAGCACAATCGATATTGTCTGTTATGTCCTGGATTACCTTTGGTCCCTATCTGGTCGTAAAGTTATCATGCAAGTAGGTGAAAGGAAGGTGTTTGACTCACTTGCTTAGTCAACCCGTTATTGATTATAACTGATCGGGCGATGTCCACTAGTTTTTAATGGCAGTGCATAGCTGTACATCCTCAAAAGTCATTCATAGTAGTACAAGACTGTCTCAAATCACTTCTGTCTTATAGCTGGAAAATGTTTCTGTGTAAATGATTGGGAGGAGTGTGGAGCTGCAACGAATGAATGTTGTTATTATCGATTAATTGTTTTGCTTATTAAAGGGCAGTAAATAGAGAAACATGCCCATTATAATTTCCCACTAACCAAGGTGATGTCATTAATGTCTTGCTTTGTCTGGCCAGAAGCATAAGATATTCAGAAGAGAAAGAAAAGCATCAACCTGAAGAAGGAAGAAACAGCAAATTCTGTTTAAAAACTGCCTTAAACAATTATTCAGATTTCAAAATAGTTACTGATTAATTTTCAATCAATCAATTTTAATCAATTAATCGATTAACTGTTGCAGCCCTGAATTGAAATAGTGGCATGAAAGGAAATGACTTATAATCATTATTAGGTGTCACCCTGGGGTCCACAGCAGTGTCATGATAATGCTATTATTGCTGTCAAGAAACCATCAAAGACAGTCCTCTTCTCTTTCACTCAAAAGTTACAGTTAGATTGGCTTCTGTCACTGTCACATTATAGATTAAGCATGTAGGACTGCAACAAACAATTATTTTCATTCTTCAAGACTATTTTCTTGCTAAATCATTTGATTTATATAATCTCAGAAAATAGTGAAAAATGCCTATTACAGTTTCATAAAAACCCACAGTGACATCCTTATATTACATACGTGTGATTATTATTGCTTTAAGACACAGGAAAGCTGCAGACCCTCACAACTGAGAGGCCGGGACTTGACAATAACTATTGTAGTAAACTCCCAGCTATTTCAGGCCAACTGCACATGATGTGTCATTTTCCTGTCAGTCAGTCGCTGGAAAACTGAGACAAGACAGAGTCGAGCTAGTTTGCTAAACCTAATGGATAAATGGCTGAAACATCCAGCTTCTGACCCATAGAGTGGTACTAGTACAAATTCAAAATGGTGTAACCCTTTTGTTTATGACAAAAATATTGTAAATACTGTATATACAACAATAGTATATGACTAATCTAATTATATGTTATTTCACACTAAAATAATAGTGTGAAATAACATCCAGTTTCAAATAAGTTAGAATGAACATGACAGGTGGTGTCAGTGAAAGGATACTTGAGCTCACCTGAAGGGACCGTGGGGAATGTCAGACAGAAAAGATTTGGAACCACTGCAGGATGGCGAATGAAGTTGAAATGTGTTGCTTTACAAAATACAGGCCACAAAAAAGGGCTGTTAAAGAAAAGAGAGATAATTGGCAATGAAAGGAAATTACCTATACCAATTGTTCAGTGTCACCCTGGGCTCCACATCAGTGTTAATGCTATTATTGCTGTCAAGTTGAGACAAAGACAATCCTCTCTTCTGTAACCTGTTTGGGCTTTCACTCATAAATTAGACTGGCTTCTAACATTGGGCAAAGGGAAAAGCATTGTTTTGGAGGGAGGCTGTACGGATTAGATGGTCTCACCCTGATTATATAACAAGCCCTCTGTTTGCTACAGTTAGTAGCTCTTATAAAATGGCTAAACAGAAAGGTCCAGTGTGTGCTGGACTTTCTGAATCAGGATGCATCTAAGGTCATGGCATTTAAAATAGCTACAATTTTCTCTGGATCTTTCTTCCCATGTGAGCAGCTACTCCACCTAAATAAGACAGACTATAAGAGGTTCTTTTAATTCCATAACCCAGACAGTGAAGTTCTGGCTCTAATGAAAACATCCTGTTCTGCCTCTGTAGTGCGTTACACTCCAGCCCTTTGTTGTTTTTATGTCTTAGCCTATAGATTTTACTCAGAAGAAGATGTGATCACAAGTCTGAGGGTTGTTAAATCACATTTTTCTGCAGCAGTTTGATTTGTGAGACACCCCAAACTAGATTTCCTCTGACACCCTTTGAGTCATCCTAACTGTGAGTCTAAGGGAAGTGGAGATTGTTGTTTTATTAGCCTTTTTTCCCTTTGGTTTGGCTTGTCATCAGGGCTGTGCCATTGTTTCAGCCCAAACAAGTTTTTCTTGTTATATAAGTTTGCATTTTAAGGACAAATTCAGAGTTGATGCTTTCATTGCATTTGGACACAGGAAAGCCTTGCATCAAATGCATAGATTTGTTTTCTGGATAGCGAAGTTTATGTGTGAAGTCTGACTGCAGCTGCATTTAAAAGGAGAACAGCTGTAGTTTAACAAGATATGTGACCCATGTAGAGAGAAGAGAGTGACGACCTCTGCTTGTGCTTAAAACTAGACTTACTCACGCTCACTAATGGGATTTTGCTGTGCTGAGAACTGCTGCGAGCTACAGTGCATGTAATCAAGCCAGAATTCCTGAAGCACACAGTGTCCAGCTGGCTGGGAGTTCCCTCTCCGACTCTGGGAGTTGACTCTCTGATATTTCTCGACCTCAGGATGAAGTCAATGTTTGTAAAACTTTGGTCACACATCTGCTGCTTTTTATTTATACTGTGCAAAATAGGCCTGTATATACAGTGATTCTCAACCATCTCAGCAGTGATCCCAACACCGTGTTAATCATTTAAGTCTTATGCTATCTTTAATGCATAAGCTATTATGCATGTGTCCTCAGTCTTTTGTCACTATTTCCGATGAATACACTTGTCAGATTTGTTTCTCTTGCATTGAAATCCAGCAGAGACTTTCAAAATGAATGGCGTGTGGGCTGTCTTAACAGAAGGGAGTTGGTTAGGTGAGTGGGAGAGAAGACGATGCCAGTGAAAGAGAGACCATCTGGGCTATCGTAATGCTGCCCACGCGCGTCTTTCTCTTTCACTTCATCTCATCCTTTCACTGAGAGTAGGCTACATCTCACAATCATTTTAACTCCTATCTGCTGGAGGATGTGCATTTCTCTATTTCTCCCAAGCCACACCCACCGCTATAACCTTTGGAATCACCAAGTTACATGAATCAATAGGTGAAAACATGACTGTAGTTAATTAGATCATTTATTAAGTGGCGAGAGGAATCTGAGGATAAGCACATAAGCATATATTGGCAGTTTGAGTTCGTAGCCTTAAGCAGGGAAGAGATGTGAGCGCTGTTAATCCAGTAGTCATTTAGCCCAAGTGGTTTTCATTGTTATGTAATAGTGATATTAAAATTGATGAAATGACAGTGTGTGTGGTTGTGAATAGTGCTGCATGAGTAGGGCTGCGTGTGGCTTTAAATTTCTTGATACTATTGTGAATACATTACTTTTTGTCTGGAACGATACAAAACATTTTTTTTTCAACAACCAGCTTTTAAGAATATAAACATTTCTTTCCAGAAACACTTTTTCCACTTTTACAAGAAGCGACTCTATCTGATGAGAGAATAAGTAAGCAAGATAATTCAGTAACAGAATTTGATACTTTCCAATACTGAAAGTCTCTTAATATCCTGTGCTATGGACATATTTCAGTCAGAACTAAAAGGTTTTGAGGTTTGATACCTAAGTGTTTTTGTGTGTGTGTGTGTGTGTGTGTGTGTGTGTGTGTGTGTGTGTGTGTTTTTGTGTGTGTGTGTGTGTGTTTTAAAAAGGGCTGAACGATATGCATTTTTTCATTTTCACTGAAAAAAATATAAAAATGATGGTGTGATTTTTGTTGTCTCTTGTACCAAACAAACATGTCCCTTTATGCGTGGAGAGTATGATTTGTAGGCTGGGGTGTCTCTGTAGTACCACAGCGCTTATGGTGATAACAATGCGCAACAATGTTGTGACATATTTTACCTTTTATCAAAAAAAGTTGCAGCTCCTGTGATTTTTTGCAGCTCCTGCATTTTGGATATTGTAGTTTGTCATATTACGATTTTGATTATATTTCGATGAATTGTGCAGCCCTTAAAGTAATAAACATCCTTTCCCATGTGCAGTACATGATGCATTATGTTTCTGGTTCTGAGCCAAACAGTTAATCAGTGGTTATAGTGTGAGTTGTCCAAACCGCTAAAGGAAACGAACCAGCTTTTCAGTTGTATGGTGACATGCTCTAATGATTGAGCTCCATAAGGAATGAAATCCCAGTGTTGTCAGTGTTTGTGACTCTTTCTACCTGTTGAATCTGACAGAATTACCTGATATGCTAATTTTTCTCAAAGCTGTTTGTTCAAAGTTTGTAAAATCCAGTTTTAAAACTGACTTAAAGCCCACAACGGTCAGTCCGTGCTCCATGTAATTTTGACCTTAGCTTGTGCTTAAAGATGTGTTTGTGATTTCCTCTTACAGGGAGCCAGTGCAGGCCAATTGTGTTCGATGGAGGAAACAGTTCTCTTTCCCCTGCAAGATGAGTGCCAATGCAGGGACAGGTGTACTGGACCCCTGTGTGTGTCGTGTATCGGTCAGAAAGGTACAGTATGTGGCTGCTGAGCTCCACTAGTGTTGATGCATTGCATGTGAACAAACAATATCAGGTTAAAGATGCAGCAGACAAAGTAAAGTCTACTGGGCATGTCAGTGTCAAAATAATATTGGTGTTGGTTACATACAGTTTTATGTGGCAAATTGAAACTGGAGATTGAAACCTGAGCTCTAAAAGTGCAGTTAGCAAGCACAGCATTCTGAAGAAAACAGACTCATCAATGTGAGATCTTTTGCCTCCCATCCTTTTGCTATCCCTTAACCTTTAGCATTTAACATGAATGTGCTCGGTGCAGTCTAATCATGTCGTGCTACATAGTTTTTATGGATGTAAAGGCTAAAAACAGCAGTAAAATCGAAGAAATTAATAAGCCTAAACAGGCCTTCCTCCCTAGTAAATGCTTCTTGTGTGTCCACGTTGTGTCTGCAAGCTGTTTCTGGGTCCAAATGCATCAAAGTCTGTGTAGATTTATGACTAAAACTTGTGTGTAAACAGAAAGATAGAAATATGCATACGCATTCTTTTTGTGAGATTTATAAAACCACATGTATGCCTGGTTCTTTTTGTAAATCTCAGTGATTGTGGAAGAGGGCGCACATGCACAAACCTCATTTCTACTCCTGCAGTTTTTCATAAATGGATGTAGAAATGGCTTTAATCATCTGTTTGTCACATCAGAGCAACTGTCAACCGTTAGCACAGCTGTGGCTATTTATAGCACCCATACCATTAATCTATCACATATATCTGTAAACAACCATTGCTGAAATTTCTCAATCATCATTTTCAAAAATGATAACACAGTCAGGGAGATTGGAAAAACACCTAAACAAAGTGATTAAGGTTACGTCTTTCATCTTACTTGGAAAATGGCATATGCATGGTTTTTTGTGCATACACATTGTTTATATATCTCTTCACTTTTATCTGTATGTAGCCAAGTATTTTAGAATTTAGTTAGATCTCAAACACGTGTGATGAGCAGATGGTGATGAGTCTTTTTAACTAAATCATACTCAAATGAAGCTTTGAGACTTGAGGATTTTAAACTTTTTGTGTAACATTTTAATTTAAATGTTTATGCTTCTCCTCTCCAGGAACTGAAGGGTGGGAAAGCATATGCAAAGGTAATATGCTCACATACTTGTTATCTAACCCCCATACCCTAACCCAACCTCCAGGTCACCTACATTTACAGTAATCATCCATATTGATGTAGTTAGCCTTTTGAGCCCATAGCAAACAGATGGCCTTCACTGCCTGTAGGTTGGCTCATTATCACATTATCATGTGTTCTCCCTTCCACTGTTTGAAAGTAATTATGTATGTAATTATTGTATTCCCTCAATGTTAAAATTGCAGAATGTTACCAGCTTGTTATGGAAGAAAAAATGATTTAGAAGATGTGTCAATATTGTTCAGTTTCTCAGTTTCTCTCACTCTGAGTCCTGTCTTTTCACATCTATAGATTGTCACATTGCTGACTGAGCAGGAGATCAGTCTCCTGAGAGAAAACAAAGTTCACCCCTTGTCATTCTTTCTCCTTCAGCTTGGTTTTGCAGATCTGAATTTAGCAGAGTTTGCCGGCTCAGGGAATACAACCCGCAGATGTCTGCTGGAAGGCTACGATACCAAAAATACTCGTCAGGATAATTCCATTCTCAAGGTAACATTGAGGCAACAGTAAAGCATCCACAGCGCCCTGATTTGACTCCTTTAGGAGGTTACCGTGCTGTTTTGAATATAAGCATGGTGTTTTTCTTAACCGGGAACGAGGCAGGGAAAAGGTTTTTGCATAAACATCTAGCATTGACAGTAACAATGGCCAGGTGCCCAGGTAGTCCATTAGATTGTAGCCAGAGATGAAACCATTGATGAAATGTGGAAAATAACTGGAAAATGTTGAACTTGGCCTTAACCCTGCCAATATCTGCTGCATTTCATGAAGAATTATAACAACCCCTAATGTGTGACAAAACCCCTACAAGAAAAAAAACTGCTAAAAATCCTCACGTTACATTTTTAATTGATCAGTGGGTGCGGATTTTCCCATGGCTTTTTAAGATTAGTTGATTAAACTGCAGTTGTCCTGTGAGTTTTGGAGTTTGTATATTTGATTCATTAGTACAACTATGCTGAACCAAAACACCTTTCATCTTTTTTTTTTCTTTGAACAAAGAATCCACACTAATGGAAACCTTGAATGCAAGTCAAACCTGAATCAATTAACCAATATCTTTTTCTTGTCATAGGTAATCATCAGTACACATCTCATGTCAGGAGATCCCTGTTTTAAAACGTAAGTTAAAGGTTAACATTTTTCTGCCTTTTCATATGGTATTAAATCTGGTGTCGTCTGCAGCTGATACTGTATTGGGTCAGTCAGGGTTGGTGTCAGTTGTCGGACTTGTAGTTCTGTCGCGCTTATGAATTAAGGATTGCACTGAGTTTGAGTATTCTTGGGAAAATGAACCTTCCCAAATTTTGATATTTATGTTACCTTTGAGAAACCAGAACCCACTGACCTTGACTGTGCTATAACTTAAAGCCGTATCCTCTTTGCTCTTCTTTGTGTAGTTTAAGCAGTGTGTTGTTGATTACTTCATCTTACTCAGTCTCTATAGGGGTCCATTTTTTAAACAATTCTTTGCCAAAGTTGTGACATCAGATCTGCTGCTGACTGCGTTAGTTTGAGAGCAGTTCCGAGAAGGTGTGGTCCTCACAGCTGTCAACACTGTGATTTGTCCGACTTAGGAAAGTTTCATGGGAATCAAACAATACAGGATTATGCAAGCCCAAGTAACTGTTAGATAATCAGATTTTCACATGTCAATAGCACTGACTGATTTCATTCTGAAAGTAATATAATCGTACTAATTCCTCTAGTAGAAACAGTTTTCAGTTAAAGTATGAATCATTAGAGATACATGCTGCTTAACCCAAGGGCAAAACTTGACCTAAAAATTATTCAGTAATCTGTATCATGTATTTATGTCAAAAGCTGAATGCTGTTTTGAGTGGTAGTAGTTTACGACCTGAATGGTCTTTCCCTTGATTAAACTATATTTTTTAATACTTTCCCCATTTCCCCGTTTTTGTCTTTATCACTTACCCTTGCTTTTTTTCCAGATTGATTTAAATAACTGACACATTGAAATACAAGAAAGCAAATAAAGCCTCATTGTCTTTCCTCTGTCCTCAGGCCTCCCTCCACAGCCACAGTGATTGGGATCCAGGGTGACGGAGAGAGCCTGCTGGAGGAGAGGAGGGGAGGAGACTCACAGAAAGGCTGTTCTGGTGAGACTGGCCACACCACATTACACTCCTCTGCTCTGCTTAGTCATGCCATTTTACAGGGACCTGGTAAAGAATGCTCCTGTTAATCACTGGTATAGATTTACATTGAAATGATGAGTATATATTTCCACCAACTTACAGGAAACCTAAAATATCCCTCCTAACCACAGAATGTATATAAAGATCTTACCTCTTTATATGCTCCCAACATTTTGGATTGTGTCACAAGGCTGAAACAGGATCCCATCTGCAGAGTTGTGTGCAGTAGACAGGCACACTGTAGAGAAAGCTCACTCTGCATGAGTAGATTTGCTCAACATTACGTCATTGCTCATCGTTATTTTAACATCAGTTTCTATTCAATGTAGCTGTTTCAGATATCAGATCTTGCCCATGATGCTGAAAACAAAATAAGAGACTGAATTTGTTTCAGTTATAGTCCAAGTTTCCTGTCTAAATTCAGATCAGGAGAGGACATCATTTACTGTAAGTAATACCTTCTGGTTGAGTCTGGTCTGAGTACTCTTTTATATCTAATTTTACTCTTTAACACCCTTGGCAGTTTACAGCAAGTAAATGAACATCACTTTTATCATTAATTGTAGCATAACCTCTGACTTCTTGACATATCCCACCCCATCCTTTTGTCTCTACCAAGTTTGAAAGCAAACTCAGTCCTCATTGCTAATACAAACTGCCTGATGTTGCTTTACATTATTAAAAGTTTTAGATGGGTAAATGACTGGAAGGCTGGAAGCAGCTACAAGAGGGAAGCCTTATTTGCCACTAAGATTACAAATAAACATCTACATTTAATCTGATATAAAGAAGTGAATGTTATTGGTGTACCAGTTAACTGGTAAGAAAAGCTGTATGTGACAGCAGGTGCACACCGCAGGTTGGTTGTTGAACTCAAAAACTCCAACACATAGCACCAAGTACCTCATCTTACTGTAGTGTCCTGTAGTATGTTGTATGTAAGCATACATACACCACATGTGATCATGATGCAGTTACTCCAACTTTATGAAGTAGAACCTTGAGGTTTTTGTATTGGCAAGTTCTTTAGTTAAGCTGCAGATATCAATCTGATAACCCATGTCTGATTTTCTGTGTGTGCATGTGTGTGTGTGTGTGTGTGTGTGTGTGTGTGTGTGTGTGTGTGCGCACTCACGTCTCTACAGTGTGATGCATTTCCGCTTCATGTAACTGCTGTTTATCTCCCATCCACTACTATGAAAATATTTCTCTTGCAGCTGTCCCTTTCTGCTACATTTGTCTCCCTTGTTTCACCCTCTCTCTCTTTTGCTTTTTGTGTGTGTTCATGTGTGAACACATCACAGTGTTGAATGCTTGTTCCTCCTGGAAGCTTCAGAGTGTAGTGCAGCTCTTTCATGTATAATTTAAACTAGCTCTCCTCTAGATTAGCTACAATCTGCTCTGACCCTGTAGGCTCTGACATGGTTAAAAATAGGACTGTGTGCAAGTCTGTCAATGGGGGTTGTGTGTTTGCATGTGCACACTACATGTGTATTTTTCTGCTGTACACAATGCTCTTTCCTGTCAGCATCATCGTGCCTCCGTTGTGCATGTTTGCAGTGTGTGTGCAGGTGTGTTTCGTGTTTGATCAGGGAGGTTTGGTCCATTATGAGAAATTTGTGATTTGTTTTGATAACTTCATGTCTCCTTATCCTCTAAGACAAGCAGGAGTGGGACAGTTAATCTAATGAGATATTTTGTTTAGCTATAGATGCAGAGGTCATGTGAAACGACACTCTTCCATAAGTGGGTCAAAAATAACTCATATTAGAATCAGTAGTTTTTATTAATAATAAATGTTATCCTCATAATTTTGCACAAAATAATTATTTGAATTTTATACAGGGGTTAATGATTTATAATGTTGATTCAACATTTGCACACTGGCATATTGCATTTTACACAGCTGTTGGGCTATGCAACTTGGCCAGATGTGATTCTTTTCTTTTCACTCTGAGATATCAGACAAGATTTTCGAGGAATACCTGGAACATGAATATGTCTGAAACATTTTGTTACCAATAAATAACTTGGGGAAAAACGGCAGCCGGGTCATTTTTGACCCACCTATGCTGACATTTGAACTCTGAAATGTTTCCCCTCTCTGCCAGCTCAGCCCTTTGCCAGTTTTGACTGCTTGACATTAAAAGGGTGGTCCATGTGTTCATGTTGCCGCACGTGTTTTAAAAAGGCTCAAACTTAAGACACAATTATACACAATGTTCCACCTCAGCTGGCAGAACTGTCATGTAACAGAATGAGACAATTTCAGTTACACAGATATTGTGTATTGCAGAAGATTTCCTTTAGATTGCAGAACTGCCTCTTACATGGTTATCATGAACCAAATATTGTGATGGCATCACATCAGGAGTTACCCTGTGATTCCCAGACACTCTTCTAAATGTGATTATTCCTGCCTGAGCAAATCTGATGCTGTATCCACACATTTGCCAACTGTGGACACTCGCTCATTAGCTCAGGGAAGCTGAACTGAGGGAAAGTGTGCGGGAGGCAGAGAGGGGAGTTTTCAATGTGGCTCCACTGCTGACGGTTGATAGTAATAAACTACAAATCGGCAGCACATTGATAAGATCCAGCCTGTATGGAATACATCACTATGTTCTCTATAAGTAGCAAAACAGAAACTGGGTTTGTGTCTGTGGTCTAAATCGAAAGTTGTCTGGCTGAGACAGAGCTCAGTATCTGGGACCCAAAGTTTCTGGTTATGTTAGTCTAACCTGCAAAGTGTGTTGACGCATATAATGGACATTTTACAAACACAGCATGCGGTGCAGGGTGATTTATTTTCATGTTTTTACTGTGTTGCTGTTTTATTTCCGGTTGATGACAATCAACCACGAACCACATCATCACTTCAGACACAAGTTGGATCACTTTGTTCAGCTGAGAACGAGCTGTAAGAGGAAGAATAAAATCCGTACATGTAGTATTTTTGATCATTTTTTGCAGTAGAACAGATTCTTGTTGAAGTTTCAGGAATGTGTCATCCCCCGTCTGTCTTTTCCTCTATCCAGCAGAGAGTCGTGAAGGGAAGTGTCCGGTTGTTTCTGATGAGCTGGGGGGCTGCGGCCATTCCCGTACATCCAGCTACGCCAGCCAACAGTCCAAACTTTCAGGTAGGGACACTCCACATCTAAAAAAAATGCTGTTGTTGGCCTGACATGGATGGCAGACAATCATACAGACCAGATGTAATAAAACAAATGTAACTTTCCAAACTAAAACCAGTTGTTATCAGCTTCAGCTACATAACACTAATCTTTTACTGTCCTAAAATCATTTTTTTATTGGAGGAAATGTGTGTGTAAGATCAAACTGAGGAAACCCTCTGACTAAGCAGGAGGGAAATGAGAAAACATTTTTCCAGTGACACTTCACTGCAGTTCAGACTAGAGGCTCGAGTTTCCATTACAGGCAGATCAGATGACAGTAATAAAAGATCACAGGAAATGAAGAGATGCACAGAGAACAGCTCTAATGGCCCTCTAATTCTGAATTTGAAGACGTATTTCCTGCCACAAGTAGCTCTTGATAGATTTATCTTTACTTCGTATTAGTGGGAGGGAAGTTTTCTCCTTCATGGCTGTAATGAACCCATTTCCTGAGATCTCTTTTGCTTTAAATGGCTCACTGAAGACATGAACAGCACGTGAGTGTGTGGGTGTCACCGCAGCTCTACTGAACTGCTAAATCATTACACACTGCAAATTACAAATCAGGTCTACAGGACAGCAAAATTGGTTTTAACAGAAAAACTAATACTGTATAAATGCTGATTATTGACTCGTGAACTAGTATTTTAATTCTGGTCTAAGTAAATCTGTATCTTTCTCTCTCTGTATCTTTCTATTTATCTTCTTTCATCAATGTGTTAAATACAGATTGGACCACTGGTGCCATTACTACATCAATGTGTAATATTATGAATGCTACAACTTCATAGGTTCACAGGGCATACATTTACTTAACATTACTGACAGTCGGTTGCATCAGCGTAGTGGGAGAGACTTTTAGAGGAAAGGTATGATCAGTTTAACCTAGAAATGTCAAGGCACCTCAGAAGTAACAGAATATTATTGAAGAACTGCTACTGTATAGTTTTAAAATCATTCTTTCGCAGGCTACAGCACGGGTCACTCCCGCTCATCCAGCATGTCAGAGTTCAGCCATCGGAGAAACCATTCAGTGGGCAGCGCCTCAACGGGCATCGGCAGCATCCCAGAACCCAGCGAGGACCGAGACAAAGAGTCCAGACCCTGTCCTGCACTCCCTGAACACCCAGTCTCCACCGCCACCACTAGCAACCCACAAGGCACACCAGTACGGAGTGCCTCATCCTGTGAACGACTCAACAGGTAGTTTGGCAAGTAAAGCATCACAAGGAGATGCAATTCCTCTCATAGTGCTATTTAATGAGCAGAAAGCAGTCAGCGAGTCAAATGCGATAACTTTTTATTGTAGATAATATAATGTGTACACATTAGAGGGGCAGTTATTGTAGGCAAGGTAAACTATAGACATAATCACACCTGAGACCTGTGTTACATTTCAGGAAGCAGCTGCCCTGCAGTGAAATGCTGCGAAGCAGAACAGCGGAAGAGTATTTGTGGTTTCATCATGTGGTGTCAATAGGGGCTCTTGTGTATAAAAAAAAAAAAAAAAAAAGTTAGTCATTGTGTTTATGAGCAGCATGTTAGCAGAGCAGCAACCGCCTTAGTGCCTACTGTGTGTCTATTCACTATACACAAAGTGTACAGCACAGAGTTGTAGGTCACCCATGTTTTGGAAGTGTTCAGTGCCCAATAAACAATCATTTACGGGCGCATAGCATGATTAAAACACGACAGCTGGATTCATTAAAATAGGAGAATATCTGTTCTGAGAGACGACAACTGAAAAACGCAGCAGCAAGTGGCCCTGGTAAGTGTGTCGCCACTAGCAAAAGCACTTAATAAGAATGGGTCGACTAAAGTGGGCATCGTTTCCAACTGCTTAAATTTGAATCCCATGGCTCCCTGGTCAACCTCATCCCAGATAAGCACAAAATGAAAAGTCAAGTTCAGGAAAGAAACAGCACTTTAGTTTCCAGTGGAAACCATTAGTGGTCAAATAGACACAAAATGATTCTGCTATATCTTTCTGTCAGACATCCAGTGAAACAGGACTCCATGGAGTCTCAGCTAAAGAGAATGGACGACACACGGGTGGATGCTGATGATGTTGTGGAAAAAATTCTTCAAAGTCAAGATTTCACACCCAGTTTACTGGACTCCAGTGCTGAAGGTAAATCACACACACAAAGACACACAGTGTGGCCTTTTTCTTGGAATTACCATGTCTGTAGGTTGGTCTCATTTTGACAATATTCTGTCACCGCATGAGCCAGTCTGTGTACTTTGTTTTGTATTCAAGGTCTCATCCTGCTTAAAGCTAGGAAAAGAAAGCTGCTGTCAATATGTGATTATTTATAGATTGCCTAGCAACTGGCTTCTCTTCATGACAAGAATTATACAGGAGGATGCTGGTGTTCTCTGTACTGACTGAATGTTACCACATGTGCGTCTGTTTCAGAGGAAGGCTTGCGTCTGTTTGTTGGGCCTGGGGGAAGTACAGCCCTTGGAAGCCATCACCTTCCCACCAGGTGAGCCTCACAAGCCTTGAGATATTCACTGAACTGAGGCCACTTTACATGATTTGTTCCTTGGTGTAGCTTAGTAGTAGATTTAATTATCAATGATGATTCCAACTTTGTCTGGTATTCTAGTGCAGCCTGTTGTCTGAACATCTCATTCCCAAGCTCACTGGTTTCTACTGAAGATGTAAAAATTGGTCATAAATATAGTTTTTTTTTTTTTTTTTAAAAACACAAAAGGTGGACAATCTAGCATTTAGCAAATATCACTCAAATGGGAGTAAATAGTGCTTATTCAGGGGACTATTTTCAGCTGTGGATTAATATAAGCTAATGAGTATTTAAACCAACAGGGCAGTGTATGAAATGTGACTAAAAATAAACTGCAATGCACATGTTCATTGTAGCCACCCATTGCACCCATTGTGTGGCTCAATGATGGGTTTTTAATAGTTTTTGGACAACTATGGAGCTCTGTGGCACAGAGGAAGAAGCTACAGTATATCAGGCTTTGGATACGCAGACAATACTTGTTAGTAGGATCGATACGCTGTTGGTTTTGCTCTTTGCTTTGGAGGTATTGACAACAACAAGAGATAATATCACCAGATGATTTTTTTAAAGAGTGCCCTTGTTTGGTGTAGTTTGAGAAAGATTTTAACAATAGAAAATAGAATAGCATGCATTATAAGTTGTGAGCTTTACTCTGTAATGTCTGAGTCTGTAATCATATACAATGGTTAATTTTATCCTTTCTTGTCCTCCTAGGGTTGGAGCTGGAGCGTATGAGCAGGTGGTGATAAAGCGTTAGACCTACAGCCTCCTTTATGATGGACTGACACTGCTCACATCCAAAAAATTGGAAACAAGGCTGTGTCCATTTCAATCTCCATTCCTAAAGCTCATTGCCTGATCAGCATGGTGTCTAACCTGATCACTCTGTGAAAGGTTGACATTACAACAGTGCCCTCCTGTGTTCATATCTGCCGTTTGACACAGTAGCTTCCTGGCAGATTTTTAACTGGCAGAGGTGGACAGTTATCATCTCAATGTAAACACACACAGCTGTGAATTAAGGAAACTGAAACATTGACCAGATTGTTCAAATCATTTAACGTATGTCACAGAAACTGCCAACACCTCACTTTCTGGGGGTCAACTTTGTCACCCAGCATCCAAACCCAAATCATAAACTGTTAGTGACCGGAAGAAAATGATTAACCTTTCATCTCCAATGGAGGACTGAAGGACTGACTCTGTGTACATCATCAAAACGAAGGGAGATCTACACTGAAGAGGAGTATGCCATACGTTTTCAATACATTCCTTTTGCCTCAGTGTTTATTTTAGACGTCCTTCTTAAACAGGATGTTCTATTTAATATTAGCCTATAAGCTGCAGTTGTTGGCGCTCTAACAGCAGTCGGTGTTTTGAAGCTGAGAATATTTTACTATGAAGACGAGGCGTCAGACTTGAGCTATTAGATGTGTGAACGCGGGCTGTGAGTGTGGTTATGTGTCTGCTATGTAGTAAGACTACTTGTATTAGTAGTAACACAGTGTCTCCCCTAGGTTGACTGCCTTGACGGGGGGTGGGGGGTAGGGGGGGTGTCGGCTCTCTTTGTAGCTGTAACAGCAGGAGAACTGCTACGGCTCTTAGGACTACCTTCCCCGACATTAGCAGCAGAGCTGCTAGTGTCCTCGCCACTGTTACACTGCTATTTTGGCCCGACTTTCAGATGGTTGGGGTTGACGTCAGTCTTTGGTTTTAGAGGGATTTATAACAGTTGTTGGAAAGCTTTTATTGCACTTACCGTAACAAGATGTCAACTTGTCTCCTCCTCCTTCCCCACAAGCTAGGGGAAACACTGAGTAACCGTTATCCTGTTATCTTGGATGAGGGATGGATATATGATCTATTGTGAGAAATGCTTTGTTGGTACTTTCAAAGAGAAAATGGGAGAATACGACAGTTTACTAGTTTGCTTACTTGTAATAATAGAGGTCCCTGTTTGCTCTTATCTGGTGAGGATTGTTGTAGAAAATCCTATAGTACTTATCTGCCCTACACAAGCAAAAAGCATTAACAATGTATTTGGTCAAAACTCAGTTGAGACCCCAATCTGACCTTCTGAAATTTGCTTTGCTGTATCACCAAAACAATACTGTAGAAATGCAAAATTCCTGTTAAAAGAGCTTTCAAACACCAAAACACAGGAACTGCACTCTGGCCATACAGATACTGCACTCTGGGTTTGTATTGCTCCTTAGTTTGGTTTCTCTGTCATATACAGCCTACTTGAAGCTAAGGCAATGCAGCTACGTATATGAAAGTTAGCTGGGGACATAGCCACACCTAGCTTAAAGTTCAAACAGATGCACTTTTTGCCCTTGATGTTATATGTAAATGAAAATATAAATTTTCATGAACTAATATGTTAGTTACTCAGTTTCTTATTCCACGTAACTAAATGAGACAGAAATGACTGAGAAAAAAAACAGCAGACTACTGCTTAGCAGCAATAGCTTAGCAGACCTTAGTGACTTCCATTTTTGCTTTTCACTCCAGTGAGTTAGGTCATATGATTTGGTGTAGTTAAGCTGCCACTAAGTCACAGTAATGTATTAAATAGTAAATTCAATTATGAATTTAGTTTTACAAATACAAATCAGATTCCCATCAGCTATAAACTAAATAATCAAAATAAAGTTTATTTTCTTGAATAAACTAGCTTAAAAGATCTACCTACCTACTAGAACACATTTTGTTGGTACATACTGTGTTTTCACATTCCCTGAATAATCCAAATGCAGAGTGCAGAATCTATGGCAATGACTTTTTGGGGGTAAAATAATCAGGCTAAACAGTTGAAAATAAAGGAGGTGCAATATTTGTATGTGTTACATACTTTGCAAGCCAGCCTCAAAACTTCTAACCTGTTTTATCTTGACTTCACTGTTTCTGTAAATTACTGCTCTCTGCCTATGTAGGGCAGTAAATGCTGGACAGAATAGTGGCTCTTATGGTAAATACGCTTGAATGGGTATAAATCCCAGTGTTTCAGATGCGTATCTATTTTATATCTACGCTTTTCAGCTATATTTCTCTGAGCTCGCCTGTTGACCGGGCGGCTTATATCAGTGAACAAATCAAAGCTCCTGTTAGGCATAGACAATTTCAACACTGCAGTATACAGTACAGTGAAAGACTAGTTTAAGTAACCCACTGCCATGAAGACAACACTAAACAACAGTAGCAACATATCAACTGTTGGCTCAAGCAGTCAGATTCATATACGATTAGTTCTACAGAAAGAAATCTAATGTAACAACAATATAAATCTACTGAGAATTTTGAGATCCTGCTTGTGTCATGCATATAGACCATTTGCATTTCTAACCTAATAGGGGATTAGGTTACAATTTGTTAGACTGAGAGCAAATTAGCCAAAGTACACAGATCTTCTCAGGCCTATGCATAACCTGTAATGACAATACTAGACAAATTATAACTAGCAAACAGTCTATACAGTATCTGCAATCTTCAGTCTCCTGTTATAACCCATAGCAGAAGTGGGATACACCCTCTTCTAGATAAACTATATACATGTTATATCAATATCTGCACAAGCATCATCAGTGTATGGTGTTTTAACTATACGTCAGTGTTCTGTTTTTATGTTTGTGTTCTGCATGATTAAGATGTCCTTTTGTTAGCGTGCAGAACTTGACACATCATCTTTTTCCTAATTTGATATTGTGCCATCTTTTAATCTCAAATTTTCACACTGAAGGAACAATTTCACTTGGCTGTCCAGCATGTAGAGTCATTTGGTTCTCATTACTTATTGTTAAAAGCAGATATCTGCACAAATATCAGTGTATAACTGTAAATCAGTGTTCTCATTTTGTATTTGTGTGTCTTTTTTTTATGTTCAGCATGGTTTAAATGTCCTGTGTTGAAAATCACATCTATAGGATATCGGTGTCTTTGTATTTGAATCTTTCATTGCTGATATTGTGCCATATTTTAGCTAAATATTTTATTGTTTAGGGTAAAAAAAACATTCGCACTACATAGTTAAGACAGTATTAAGTGTATAGCTACCAAATGTCAACCAGATTTTTTTTTTTTTTTTTGTCTTTTTGGATAAAAATCACTTGTTTTACCTGTGCGTCACAGGTATGTTCATCTTGGTACCTAACATGTTGTTACAAACATGGTTGCTTCTTCTCTTCTGTGAAGCTGTTGTCTATATAAAACTGTAAGACGTATTCTCCTGTAAAGTGATGTTCTGCGCTGTTTTGACACTGTCCAGTGTTACCTGTTACAGACTTGTTCTTTCGACCAACATTTGCTTCCTTAACAAGTGTACTGGATGCTTCAAACGTGTACCTTGCACTGAATTAAACCGTTTAAAAGCCTCAGCAAATACAGATCCCCCTCCAACCTGTGGTATAATTCACAGCATTCACAATATGAACATTTTCTCATATTTAGAGTTTTATTGTGATTTTTACATTTGGATTTTCTAAGTGGTTTTCAGTCTGTACAGTGATATTTTAGAGGCCAGTGGATATTCTGTCTTCATTGACCCACCTTAAGACATTTTATTCATACTCAAAACACAAAGTTGCAGTCCAAACAAGCCATCTAACAAATCCAAAAGTTTTAACAGTGTATCTTAGGATGTGTGAGTTCAACTTGCACTGTAAAGCCAGGGAAAGCCTTTGATTGCTTCTAATTTCCTTTATCAAATCTGAACAAATCACCTACTTGTCCTGAAAACAAAGCTCCATCCTCCAGATCAAACATTTGCCTCCCAGTCTTCCTCTTGTTCAGCAGTGTGGGAGTCCTGCCTGGCCTCTGCATACCCGCTGTCCTCCAAATCATTATGATCCTCCTCTCCTTCAAGGTCTAACAACACAAATGAATGACCAGAGTCACAACCACAGAATTATTCAGTCATCAAATTCATAGGCTGATGATACATTATTTTTTACAAGCTAGTGGTGATTGTGGAGACTAAGCTTTGTGAACCACTGAACCACTAATGTGCGGTCAAAATGGCGACATCAGCTGGACTAACCTTAGTATTGCACTTTTTACATTCGGTGTTACTCACCAAAACACAGTGTTTATCTTTGAGGCCTGATAAACAAGAAAAATGCATTTTCATCCTAAAAAAAAAAAACAACTGCAAAGCCAATTTTCAATCCAGTATTGTTAATATCTATCTATCAAGTTTGCAGTCTTCTTCTCTGACTTTTTTTTTTTTGCATTGCTGCACATCTGGGTATGTTACCACCACCTGTAGATCAGTGAACAATGGGCCATCATTGGCAGGATTGAGTATCATGTGATATCACCAGCAACATCACTAGTGGAGAGGAAATATATAAACTACTAGGGGAATAACTTCTCATACATCTTCTTATACAGTACATTCTTTCCCTTCTAATATATTAATGTTGACATTTTACACTTTTAAAAAAGTAACAAAACTGATCACATGGTACCAGTGCCTTGTTCCTGGTAATTGACAAGCACAGCAGCGCCGTCCTGGCTGAGTTTAACTTCGGGTTCATCCAGGAGTAGATGTCTGAGATTACTGACACTTCCAGTCAAGGCACTGATTTTGGGGCAGCAGGACCACAGTACATCCAGTGGTACGGATACACACCTACCAGCAGAGACAAAAGGCAATAAAAATGAAAGTGGTTACTAGCTGGAGGATATGGCTGTGTCTCAGCTTAATACTATCTTAATATGAAGAATAAAGTATGGTTGAAAAGTTTTAGCTGAATGAAAGAAATATGACGGCCACAACATAGCTGCTTTTTACTGGCAGCTACATGTAAACAGATATAAGTACAAATATCAAAATTTTAAAATTTTAAAATTTGGGAGGAAAAGTTGAGAAGTTGGGTTGGGCTTTTCCGATACTCTTTAATTATTGGCAAGGCATTAAAGGTTATTAAGAAAACTGTACTGGAAGAGAAGACAGTATCTTCCAAAATAGCACCACAGGTCCTGTTCATAATTTGCTTATTTCTAATTTACTGTGGCAATACTATTCCACCTCATCTTCCTTGAGGAAACTCACCTGCGCAATGTGCAAGAATCTTGTTGTCTTTGGCTTTTTTTCCAAAATACATCTTCCTCCTCTTCTTCCTGATCCTCTGACACACTTCTCCCACACTGCACTACTAGACTTCTCATCTCTGCTCCACATGCTGAAGGTGTGACATTTGAGTAGGTAGAAAAAAAAGAGAGAAAAAAATGTGTTTTATAAGTGTACAATTAATCAAGTTAATCAAAAACACCTACATTCAACACTCTGGAAGTACAAACACGTTCCAAACTTTTAACTTGAGAACTGCTGTGGGATATTCACCTGTTTGCTTCTCTTCCATCTCCATGCATCGCTCTGAGACACATCCCTCTCCTCCTGCCGCAGTCTGGCACAGTGTATAAGCACCACTCCCCTCACCAGTTCTCTCCTCCATCCATCCACTCTTTAGCTTTTCTGCCCAATACAACACCTCGCTCACCAGGACCCTCCGCAGGGTGTTGTTGTCACGCAGGCTGGGATAGTTTATACTGTACAGCTGATATAGAAACACATAAAAGACATATATCAAAAATCAGAGCTTGGATCTGTACATATGGATAATCAAGAGAAACTTTTGCTGTTTGAGATGTGATATTTGTGCTGTCATAGTTATCATAAAAAATCTCTAGCTACCGACATCAATGCTAATCAATTCTAGCAGGTCAATATTTGTTTACACCAGTGAAAAGAACATCAGACCTAAAGATTTATTTTCTTACATCACACTTTTACAAAAGAAAATAATCTGCCTGTCCAGTTTACTTGTGTCTATTATCAAAATTAGACTTTGTGACTGTGTGAGTTACAGGTTTCCCTCTTTCAAGGGAACATTGAGGGTGATCTGTACATGGGTGTGGTACAGGTGTCAAATCTACCTTCACTGTAGTTCGTAGGAGCAACCAGCAGAGGCCACTAAAGCTTAAAAATTACCTAATGCTGTTTAAAAGCAGAGTAACTGTACCTGCAGCCTATCATAAGCAAATCAGTTTTTTTATTTGAGCATTAAAAGCTGTTTTTACTGTTCATTAATGTCTGTTTTCAGTAATTGACAAAATGTTGGTGTCAATTCTATCAGTAACATTGCAGGACACACGGACACTGCAGTAGATCTATAATCTGTATTGGAGCCGCAGTCATTAAGCACCAGGTGTTTTTATTTCTTCACAACAACAGGGACGTTGAAATTGGGAAGTACAATTCTCCCATCCTCACTTCTCGTCTTCACATCCTACTCTCACATCCCTGTAGGGAGGAGCTAAGACGCAACCAACTCTGGTCCACCAGAAAGTCCAACACACCAGTAATATATAAAATTAAACATACTCACCAGTGTGTATGAAAAAACATCCTCTGCATCGTCACCCAGCAGCATGTTGCAGCCATCTCTCACCCCGTGCCGGCGAAACACCCCGATCTGAGAGCAGAAGCCGACTCCCTCCTGCTGGCCTGACGGAGCCTGTCCAACACCAGTGAACTCCACCTCATAACCGAACTCCAAACACACCTTCAGAGCCCTGAGGAGGGTGTAGTTTTTCCAAACTAAATTCAGTTCAAATCATTTAACAGCACTGATGACTTCTGGTTCGATTCACCCATTGATATTTTCCGCCACTACAATCCTCATTAATACTCTCCACATCAAAAATCAAACACATCTTAACATGGATTTTTAAAAACACCATACTGTACCAGGATCTGAACTCTGTCCTGGTCCACTCAAACTTGTGGTCGCTGTGCCTGAAACCAACCAGTCCGGGGAGAAGGGGGTTGAACTCAGAGTTCGGGGTGCTGACGATAACCGCCAATGGGGTCATGTAACCAAACACCACCTCAGAGAAGCTCTTCACATCAGCAAGAGTGAGGTGCTCTATGCTGGACACAACCAGGGAGGATACAAGGTGATAAATATTGGCACAGAGCGACAGACGGCAATAGAAAGATGAAATCGACAAAGAGAGAAAGACAGACAGAGAGAAAAATACACAATCAAAAGAACAATAAAATATATGAAAAAGATTCGTTAATACTGACAGATGCTTTAAGACGCTGAGCCTTAACATTACAAGAGCAGCCACTTACAGCTCTATACTGGTCACAAGATCAAATCCTCTGAGTCGGGCGTCTTTTTGTGTGACTGAGCCCTGATACAGCTCAATGCGCAGCTGATCATAACTTAGCTGCAGATAGTCAGTTGATATAGGAGCTAATCCGTGCCTGGCAGAAGATACAAGCAGAGTGTACACATTATCAGTCCACACAGTGAAAGTTACCACAACAACAAGACACACAAGGTGAATGAGGAGTCAAAGATCAACCGATGCTTTGACAATCACTTTATTTATTTTTTTTACCTCTTATCCACTCAGCAGATCGAGAAGAGGTTCATGAAGACAGCTGACTTTTTTTCTTACCAGCCACATCTGGAAATAGTTTCAACTTCTTAAGGTTGACAATTAATATGAAATGTTTTTGACTATTTTTGATGTTGATTATGTTGTTTGCTTTCAGTACTTTTGGTCTTTACCAAAGGAACTACAAATATTTGGATGTGAATCCAACCCTTTAGATTAAGCTTGTGTTTGAAATGGTTTCACATGTGGTACACTTGTCCAGACGTATCTCTTAGTCAGGTAACTGATTTAATAACAATATCAAACTGGGCAATAATTCAGTGAAATCATTTATCAACATTTAGTATAGTGATATTATCATATTGTGTTGAAACATGTGCTTGACATTGTTTCGTTTCGTTACTAAGTCCCGACCTTTTGCATATGTCACTGATTATTGAGAAGAAAGAGAAAACAACGGGCATTAATATTAGAAGAAAAGCAATTTTTTCTTGTCTGTTTGCTGCATGAGTTGTAGTTACATCTTTTCACCTCAAATACCAACAACACATGTACTTAATGTATATAAAATAATGTAAACTGCAGTTTTGCAACACACCTCTTTACATTAAACTTTAATTTGACAATTGTGTGTAACCTTGCATCAATCTATTGCTGCAAAAAAACGCTTATTTGTCATTATCAATTAAACTGTCTGTTTTAGTCTTTGAAATGTCAGAAAATAACGAGCTCTACATAATGTGCACCTGCCATACCGTGATACATCATGCATATACTGATATCAGAAGAAGAAAACGCTTATTTCAACCATGAATTATAAAGTATTCAGTCAGATACACCTTTGATTTACATACATACATCTTTTTCTTGACTGTGGTCCCGTTGATGTCCACTCCAACCAGAAGTTCAACTTCACGGTGAAACCTGAGCTTTTGGAGGAGGCTACACTCACTACACCCCAGGTCCACCACCTGAGGAGGACAGCGACAAGACGTGTGAGAGTTTTAATCGGCCAGAGGAATAAACCTTTGGCTCCAGGGAACAAAATGTTAAAAGTTATCACAGCAATGAACGCAAAGCCTCGCAAGGGGCAATTGATACTACAACCGACTGTAGCTAACGTTAGCTTTAACTGGTTCGGCGGTTAGCTACTAAGTTAGCTTCGGTCGCCCAAACAAACGTCAGCATTGAAGCTAAGGTGTGTAAAATAAATATGTTCTTCTTCATTATGATGTTAGCTACCTTTTTAGGTTTGTTCCTCTTGACAAAATCAATGACAAATTGATGTCTCTGCCTGTGAAGCGGTGGACTGAACATCTTGACGTTTAGCTAACGTATCACTCCGCCGGTCTCTAGATGGCGCTGTTGTTATTATCTTTGTCAATGTTTTTTTTTTTTTTTACATTAGGCGATACTTGTAAACCAAAGACAGGTGTGTGGTTGTGAAGGCACATTTTCCACTTTTAAAGTAGTTGAGCCACACATAGGTTTAGGGATTGCTCGGTCCACCACTTATATTCAGGCACAAATTCTTAACCTCCATCTGGATGGATCACATGTTTAGACATCCATGCTCCCCAGAGGATGAATCCCACTGACTTTGTTGATCCCATGACTTCTTCTGAGGCAGCAGGTCAAGATGTATCCTTCATTTTTTCAAGTAAACAGCTAATAGTTTGTTTTGTCTTATCCACGGATGGTTTACTAAATGAGCCTATCTCAAAGCAACCACAAAGAGACATAAAGCAACAACAGAAATACACAAAGAACTACAAAGAGGCAGAAAAGGACCCCGAAGATTGTGATGTGAGAAAGATGTAGACGGGACCACAGCGATACAAACAAATGCAAAAAGACACAAACCAAACACAAAAACATAAAACAACTATAAAGAGACACAAAGCAACTACGAAGAGACATAAAAAAAAAACTATGTGAAATGGCTACAGAGAGATAAATCAACTACAGAAGGACAACAAATAGATACCAAACATATACAAAGGAATGCAAGATGACCACAAAGAGATGCCACTGATTTCAGTTTGGTTGTCTCGCATCTATGTATGAGGGGTGGGGGGCCTTGTATGTCTTAAAATTATAAAGAATTTATAGCATTCGTGATTAAAAAATTACTTAAATGACAAAGCAATTATGAAAATAGTTGCAGATTATTTTGCTGTGAGTGGCTGTGACTTATAGTCATGTTAATATTTCTTCCTAAACTGACTAATGCCTAAGACAATATGATATTCCCTAAACTGACAAACACCATGTCATTATCCTACCAATTATGGGCCATATTGCATGTTGGTGCTTCACACCTTCTTGATAAATAATGATGTCTCAAACCACAGGGCATGCCTCCAATCAAAGGTGTTAAGAAAACAAACCTCACGCCATAAACACATCATTCAGTCTCTCATCAACACATGATGTAATACTAGTTTGGAAACAATGACAGTTGTATTCCCAGAACAGTATGTGCTGCTTTGCCTTTCAGTCTCAAGGCCAAAATTATAAAAATGACATATAAAGTCTAAATTGGAAATATCCAAGTAAGATATGGGGCTCTGTTATGAGTCAGAGTGCAGTTGTATACGGGTACAGGAGTGTTTTATTGACACCTTGAGGGGAAAAAACATGTCATAGTAGAAATGTTCTTATTATAACGGATTATTTCATTTCATAACATATTTTTGAACAACATTGTAGCTTATGGTCATCAGAGAGATTCACAGTGATTAATGCATTTTTAAAAGGCACTATGGTTTATGTAAAAAAAGAAATACTACAGTATAGTCCCTTTCCAGTGAATACATTTTGAGATGTTACAGTAGGAAAAGTACAAGGATAGATAATATTAACTTCATGATGGCTGACTTGAATTTAGCTGCTTCAGTTTCAGGGTCCCTGTGATGAGCATGCCGCCTCGCTGTCACGCTGTCTTGGCTTATTGGGACCCCTGAATAGAACAGAGCCATCGTTTATGTAATTAGAAACACATGTGCTTTTTCTTCAAAGATAAGTCAAAATGTCTGCTGTGAAAAAAATCCTATTATGGCAATAATTTGAAGGCTTTGTTAATCTGAACAAACATGGGTCTTTTCAAGATTTATCAATTTATCATTTTTAAAATCACAGAAAAATATATATTCACGACAACCAGTAATTGCCTGACTTTGTGACCTGTAACTACATTGCAAAATTACAAATTTGATACTGAATATGCTACTGTAATAAGAACAAAGGGCAGCTCCTGTTCTGTCACTTTGCATTTGACTAGCAATTGAAAACACCAGACTTAAGCAATTAAAAGTACTTGGTTTAAGGTCTGGTTTTCCCAAATTCGAATGAATTATTTTGAATTTACTATTAACAGCAGATAAAGTTGATATGGTGCATGTGTTGGCAAACAATGGCTAATGTACACATAAGACAGAACGCAACATTAGCATTCATTTGTATATTGTATATTTTTCATATCTATGTCCACCTGATGAATTTAAGCCCGATATTTACCCTGCTTTTTGACAATTGGTACCGGTTGGACTCCACCAACTGCTGAGGGAAATATGTGGCTCTTTAGCTGCTAAATTCTCCACTGTGTTCACCAACTAGTTGCTAACTGTGTCTGTCAGCCATTTTTTTGCCGAACAAACTGCTGCTGAGGCCAAAAACAACACTGATGAGAGCGATGAGAGTGAACCAGAGTAGTAAAGTTGGGGGCTGTAACATCAAAACAATGCACTAAAAGACTTTCACATCACATGTTGACATTTCATCTATTTTTATATAAGAGCAGCTTTAATTTTAAGTGTACTGACATATATATATATAGATAGATAGATAGTTTGTTTTATGTGCCCAAGTTTTGAGATATTTATCTCTGAGATTTTTTGCTACCACCACTGAAATGGAGGTGAATGAAGATTTGTTTTATGTGCTCACAGTGCTGCAAAGACATTACATTCAAGTGCAGCATGTCTTTACAAATATAGTGTCCCTGTTTCTGTAGAAAATGCCTACTCACTTTTACTCCAACACCAGCACTTAATCGTATTTATTTTTATGCAATTACATTTATTCTAATTCAGTCTTTATTTTATGCTTTGTACGTGATTATTTGGTATTTTATGCCTTGCACTTGCATTATTATGCTTATCCTTTACTGTGTGCTGTAAGGTGTCCTTGAATGCCTGTAAATAAAATGTATCATTACTATTATTATTATAATCCACAGAACACGCTGTCAACAGTTTTCAGAAACTGCTTCTTTGTAGATCCAATAAACACACTGAGGTCTGTGACTTTTAGTCTATTTTCAATATATATTATATACATCTTGGCAAAAACAGGGTGAAAGAGATGGGGATTAGTGCACAGTGGTATTTTGAAAGAGGGAGGACAAAAATGGAGTGGTGAGAGAATGATGAAATTGTTGGAGCTGGAGAAAAAACAAGCTGATGGGAGGCAGTGTGTGGTGAGGGACAAGAGTGGGAGAGGGAGGGAGGCCGATACAAATGAAGAAGATAAAATATCTCATCTCGTGAAAACGTCAGTCCGGGGGGGGGGGGGGGGCTGCTACAACTCAACAGCTCTCTGCTCGGAGCTGCAGTCACTCCCTCTCATGATGGTGGAGACACTGGAAGATAACCTCTGTACCCCTGCCCTCAACTCCTCCTGCAGGTTAATGCCTGTCACTCCCGAGGCCGTACTCATCAAAACGCTGCTGTACTGCATCGCTGTGCTCACGGTGATGCTCAACTTGTTGGTCATCATCTCCATCTCCCACTTCAGGCACATACGCTTTTCTTGAAATATAACAGCTAATAGTGTGTATGGGTTTAGTTAATGGATGGAAGCTTTGTGTGTAAGACAAGCCAGAGATCTCTGTCGTTTTGCTTATAAAAGAAAAGTTTTTTCTGTATAAATGTATCACAATAGCAGTAATCATGATAAACTGTACAGCTTTATTTGGCATGTTTGGTTTTCATGTTGCCGTGTCTATAAACATAAAATCCCACTTTCCATATTTTGCCTGTATTCTCACAACAATTGCTGTGATCTAAACTTATTTACACTGAATATGACACCATGAAGAAACTATCATTTATCATATTCTTCCTCCTCAGGCAGCTCCACACCCCCACCAACCTCCTCCTCCTCTCCCTGGCTGTGTCCGACTTGCTCCTGGGCCTTGTAGTGATGCCGACTGCAGTCGTCTTGGTGCAGTCTTGGTGCATGGATCAAATCACATGTGCCCTTTTGTACCTGTTGGGCTTCATCCTCACCTCCACCTCTGTCAGCACCATGGTCCTCATATCAGTGGACCGTTACGTGGCTATCTGTGAGCCTCTGCACTATTCTTCCAGGATGACGACAAGCAGAGTTAAAATCTGCGTGTCTGTGTGTTGGTTCTGCTCTGTTACCTACAACTTAATAATAATGAAAGATCACTTTTCACAAATAGGTAAGTCTGATTCCTGCTACCAAGAATGTGCAGTCACCATAAACTACATTTCAGGGGCGGTAGACTTGGTTCTCACCTTCTTCGGCCCCGTTACTATCATCATAGTTCTGTATACGAGAGTGTTTGTGGTGGCTGTGTCACAGGCTCGAGTCATGAGGTCTCAAGCTGCAGATGTCAAATCAAACACCGTGACTGTGAAGAAATCTGAGATGAGGGCTGCGAGGACTCTTGGTATTGTCCTTTTTGTGTTTATACTCTGTCTCTGTCCATACTACACCCCCTCTCTGGCTGGACAGGACACCACAGTTGTTGACTCACCAGTTACAATTTGGCTCTTTTTCTGTAACTCCAGTTTCAATCCTCTGATCTATGCCTTTTACTACCCGTGGTTTAGAAAAACAATTAAACTCATTGTGAGCCTTCAGATACTGCAGCCAGGTTCCTGTGAGACCAAGATCATGTAGAGAAAAGAAATATACTGTACTTAAATGGGGTAAATTCTGTCTAATGGAAGGTGTAGTAAACTGTTTTAACTGCATACTATCAGTTCACAATCATTTTTAATGAATACAGAAAAGCAAAATGTCACAGCGAAAAAAAAAAAAACATTCATATTTGAAACCACTATGCTTTTGAAACGACCTGTACCATTGAATTTAATGGAGTTGTCAACCTTGGTTTAGAAAATGTACTGAACATGTTTCATGTCAGTGGAGTGTACTTTAACACCTGAGCACTTTTTATGAGTGAGGAATAGGGGCAGACTTAATATTGCAATTGCAATATTGTATTTTTTTCCGTTTATTTTTAATATATTACATTTTTTTATAAATTTTTTAATTTAACAAGCAGATGTGTAGGATAGAAACGAGGTCAGCAAACATCAGCAACAGAAGGTGTAAAACATTGAAATATCCTATATGTATATCTGTAAAAAAAATTTAATGGGTTGGGGTATAATATGACTTGACTAGTGAGGGCTCCTCATCAGGAACATGAGCTGTTTGTCAATTTGTGTGCATTCTCAAAATTAGAAAATGAAATGTTTACCCACAAGATAATGAGCTGCAATGGTTAATTAATTCATTAATCAACCCATGGTAAATTAGGCAACTATTTTGTAAGTAAGTTTTCAAGCAAATTTGCCAAACCTTCGATTCCAGGCTCTTAAATATTAATATTTGCTGCGTGTCCTCATCTTAAATGACAGTAAATTGATTTTGTTCGGATTTTGGGGAATTTTCCACTTGTGTATGTCTAACGCAAATTTGAACGCAAAGTTCAAATTTAAAAAGGAAAGTTTTCAACACTGATTTTTATACAGAGGTGTCTTTTAATGTTTCACAGATTTTTTATTCCTTCATTTCTGGGATTGTTAAAAAAGATCTGTCAAAGTGTCCACAAAATGAGAAGAAATATAGTACATCTTAAAGAAAATATACTGCATGGTTTTAAAAATATTGCTTGATAAATTATCTGTTTATTTGTTTACACTACTTTTTGTTTGTTTAACAATCATCCAGATAATCTAATAAAACTATCTCAAAAATAAATCCATTTTTGATAAATACAATTTCAGCAATACTTTGTTAGACAGCTATAAAGCCACATGCTGCTATGATACCAGTCACAATTATGAGTATGTATACAACCTATTTCTAACAAAGATTCATAAGCATTCAAATCTAAAGGTTCTCCTCAGGTTTGATCATAATTTATTTGTGACATGTAAGGCGCCCCTCAAACACAACAATTCTGTTATGGCTCTGAAGTCGTAATTACTTATTTTTACACTTTTCCCCCTTAGAGATTAAACTGGTAATAATTCTGTAATGGATGCTAAAGAGTGGAGAAGACAAACATATAACCCATATAATGGTATTTCTGCTGAGTCCAGTGTATATTTAAATTGAACTGTGCTACTTCATTAGGAGGCATCGGTGGTTCTGCACTCTGGCCTGGAGTAGTTGCTTTGGCTGATGGCGTTCTTGGCTGCGAGCCTGACGCAGTAGGTGGTCCAGGGCTTGAGATCAGTCTCTACATAAGAATCACCTTCCACGGTTCTCACTCTCGGTGGCTGATTAGCCTGCTGCTCTCTCTGCTCCTCCTCAATGACAACTGTGTACTCGGTTGCATCCCTCACCGTCGTCCACTTCACATACAAGGAAACTTCCCTTACTCTTACGATCAGCAACTCTGGCGTTTCAAGTTCTGAGAGAGAGAGGGGGGGGGTTAAATTAAGAGTTGTTAGATAGTACAGCCCTATCATCTATGATGGATTTGATTGACTACTATGTTTAACACTATCTCTGGGTTGTGTAATACAGTATGTGATATATAATAACACCACAGTTACCTTTGTCTAAATGGGCATAGACTTGACTGGCCCGCAAATCTCTTCTTCTGCGAGCTCCTACTGGACCTGAGGAAGAAAACATAGCAATACAGAAAAGGAGGTGACTAAATTAAACAGAACATTGGTTGATTTCTGCAGCAGTGAGAGAACTGTAGTTGTAAGTAGCTAACTCTGCCTTTTCTCTCTGTGAGGACCAGTCAAATACTTGGGCGGGTTTTGAGTTATCCATTTCATATCCATTCCCGCCTCCAATTCCTCCTCAACTCGCACAACGCTGCTTAAATGTTTTTGCAGTGACACTCTGGTTTGTCACTGAAGGTCTGTTGGTCCTGAACTGATAAGACTCATAGTCGAATACAATTGGACATACAGAATTAGATAATTGAGTGTTAGTTAAACCCCATCCTTAACAGCAATTGTCCAATCATAGCTAAGCAACCGTGACAACGCATGAAACACAAGCTTTTGCTTTCTCCTCATGCTGAGGTGGTGTGTATGAGGCTATAAATACTCTGTATTTAAAGAGGGTGGAGTTGTTTTTAGTTTACTACCTACAGTAGTAACCTAGCATTACTTCCAAAGCAAAGGAGGACATCATTTACTAGAACAGTTATAAGGTAACACACACACGACTACTGGATGCTATCAGAGTGAGTCCTGTGTGTCTGACCTGTAATAAATCGGTTAGGGTTGCTCTCTCCCACAGCATTGCTGGCCGTCACTTCAGTGGCACTGGAATTGAAGTTAGTCAGCTGACAGGAGAGCCCGGTGGTGCTGCAAAGCTCGACACGGCCTCCTCCCGATATACTGTAGACGGTATAACTTGTGGCAAACACCGACGCGTCCCAGGACAGCACAGCAGACTGTGTGTTACCACTGTATTTCACATTCTGTGGAGGACAGGGGTCTGGGAGGGGAACAGTGAAAATGCTGTTAACAAATGGAGAGGGAAGTGTTATATTTTAACAAGACTAGGTCAAAATAAATGGCTGGGCCGTGTCGTAGCCTATTTACATTTTGCCTGGTGTCAGCCGGTTTCATCTGTTTACTTCTCTCCTACACTCTGTGCTCACATATACAGTATTTTGATACAATAAAGCTGTTCTCATTAACGTGTTTTTCCGTTTCTGTATGAAATACTTACTGAAACTACCCACTAAGACTACATGTTAACCAGAAGTCACTTCCAAGCTGCTGCTAAAATCCTGATTTTACACCCATGATGTCTGACAAAATGAACAAACACATAAATTGAAAACTGTGCTGTGATTTCAGCTATATTTACTTGTAAAATGATCACTGAGAGAAAGTCACAAGCTCATTCATATCAGCTGCCATACAGTCAGCATAGAGAGGTGTGTCTGGGGAGGGAAAGCCTGATCTCACGCTTGTGGGACAATACTGACAAATTATATTCTCTCTAGTCTTCTAAGGAAAGTAGCTGAAGTTCACTAGATTTGTTGCTAGGTGCTTAAAAAAATATTCTTGGTGAACAAAGGTGAACGAAGTTGGCAACGCTGCTTGTTCGCATCAATTCATTTTGAAAGAGCAAGGACCAATGGTGCAACTTCATCATTCAGTCATGTAGCAACATTTGTGTTTATGGGGCTGGCCCAGCTGTTGCAGTCCAGCCAAACACGCCTTATATGTATATAAACATTTTATTTACGCCACATAAACTTGAACCCAAAAATAGAAAGGAAGGAAAAGTAATTTTACATGAACATGTAAAGGTCACTAAAAACTCTGTGTAACACTGTGTAAAATCAGGGATGAGCAGAGCGTATAGTTACCTGTGACTCCAGTGAAGGCACTGGAAGGTGCGCTGACCCCGGCTGAGTTTCTGGCACGTACAGTGAGGTTATAAGCTGTGCTGCAAGGCATCGGGAACTCAAAGTATTTTCTGGGTAGCCAGTAGGAAGCGACTTCCATCAGGGCCTGTGGGCTGTTGTTGATTCTACCTGTTATCTCCGCCAGGTACTCAACGTCAGAGCAATTGACACTGTTCCATGACGTCCTGGCCCAGTAAGTTTGGTCTATCTTCTGCATCCGGACATTCAGAGAAGTTGGAGGACAGGGAACTGAGGAGAAAAGAGTCAGTATTTTACTAGTGGAATGGACCAGTTTTTTCAGCTCTTGTTCAGGAGAGGTGTACCAGCATACTACATGTAAAATGACTGGGAAGTAACAACCATGATTGAGAACTACTCAACTTGATTATTGTATTTTACCTGAGCAAGACTATACAACATTTTTAATATCTCTGTTCTACAGTTAACCAACAGAAATCTTGTCGGTAAGTATCACTGGTACTTTTTATTTACCTGCTCCCGCCTTCAGAGTTGCACTAAACGAACTATTGCAGATGCCATCAGAGGCCTCCACGGAGAAATTGTACATTTTGCCACACTCTAGGCCTTCGAGGGTGCAGGAGGTAACAGTGCTGTTACAGTAGAGCGCGTCTCCATCCTTAGATTGAGCACAGCCAAAATACTCCGCGGTGCCCTCACTGGCGTTCCAAGACAAGACGGCAGAGTTTCTCTTACAGTCGAAATCCACTGCGAGACCAGAGGGCTCACAGGGCACTGAGAGGAAAGAGAGAGGACTCCTGTCAGAGATTCAAGCATGGAGCTGGCCTGCAGTTTATAGATGTTTAGGATAATGTCATCTCAGCCCTTTATAGTAATGAAATCAAGTTTTTCAAGAGAAAAATGCTCTACTACAACTTCAGCACATCAATGTTCAAAGTTTAACAGTTTGACAGCGAAGACCTCTTGAAATTCTTGTCAACGGAGAAGAAAAATGAAGAAAAAACAGAAAGCGTCTTATCGTGTCTAGACCTGTTCTGAAGGACGAAGTGCTGGGCATGCTGGTGCAGTTGTCTCCACTGGCAGTGATGCTGAGACTGTATGACTGGCCACAGTGCAGATCAACCAGTGTGAAGTTGTTCACCGAGGTGTTGTAGCTGGCGGCATTTCCGTCCATTCCTGTGGCTGTTAGCTGGTAGGATGTGGCAACAGCGGAGGGTGCCCACGTCACTGCTGCCCCATGCTCTTCACATAACTGTGCCACAGTCACGTTGTCTGGTACACAGGGCGCTAAAGAAGA